AGGAAACTGGGGGAACTTCAGTAAATCTCAGGATACTACCCAACCTTGGGACTGGAGCCGAAGTGGGCCATTTGGTGTTCGTTCAGCAGAGCCTGGCAGACTTTAATGATGTCTCGACATTTCTTGGGAGTCTCCTCCACCTTCCCTGACAGGAGAAGACAAGCTGCGGCCACCACCCACCTGCTGAACTGTCGGAAACTCTGCAGCATGTAGAACCTGTGGAAGAACACCACTCCTGTCGCTGTCGTGTCGTAACGACTGCTCCACCGTCAGGGAAACCAACTCGCACATGTGGCAGCATATTATCGTGGCATGAGATGAGAGAGGGTAAGAGGGGGGATACAGGCCAAGCGTATTGCTTGCGTTTATAATGAGCCGGGCGCCCTCCCGACGGTAGCGGATCTCCGTGGGTAGCGTGACTCCGTCCTCGCGCGAGGGGCTCTTGTTCTCTATCTCCTCTCGAGTGAAGTACCAGTTGAAGTTCGTCATGATTTTCACGTCGCGGTGCTGAAACTTCCAAATAGTGCCCACCCTGGGCGCGTGACGTCATAAAAACACTTCCGAGCATGCGCGTATTTTTGTCATAAGGTTTCAGAATTAATTATGAAGTGTAAAAATGACAGAGTATATAATCACTGATGTGGTTGTGCTGTTTTTTGACGGACAAGATGAACAAGTTGCTGAGAGTAACGGTCCAGTAAAGCTAATACCTCTTCTCCCATTACCACACCCTCTTCTCCACCGACCACACTCCCTCCCCTGCCAACCACACCCTCTTCTCCACCGACCACGCCCTCTTCCCTGCCAACCACACCCACTGCTCCACCCAAATCCTGCATCACCTTCACTTCTGGTTCTTCTCCCTCCCCTTTCTCCCTCTCTGCACTGTTCCTCTCCCTCTCGTCCCTCTCTCCGGATTCCAAGCTCTCTCTGGAGCTGCTACCAGAGCTCTCTGCCTCCCTCGTCCCCCTCCCCCGCGCCACGTCCCTCCATCTCCGTCGATGTCTGTTGGCCATACTGACCGACCGTCTCTTCAGGCTAACGACAGCTGTAGCAATAGCTCCAATGGCCTCCTCACATTCCCCTCTCCTCTCTTCTTCCCCCTGCCCACACCCAAGACCATCTACTGCCTGAAACACACAAACAAACATGATTACAACTGCCCCTTCACCCCTCACGTTATTACAACTGCCCCTTCACCCCTCACGTTATTACACACACAATCTTACCTACACATGTACGTCGCCTATAATAATGCTTGCAAGTAAGTATAAGTAACGTACCATTTGGTGGAGAGCTACCATGTTTCTGAATCCCTCATTGATGTCAGCTATACACTGTGTCACTCTGGATAGTAGAGATGGACCTAGAAATTGATAGTGGATTAGAACGACTTTAGCAGAATTCTGCTTCTCACCTTCTACTGCTGCACTTTCCTGTGGTGGGGTGTGTGTTGAGTGAGGAGGGGGAGAAGGGGGAGACGGAGGGGGTGGGGTCACAGTTTTAGAACTTGTTGTGGTTCCTTTTGCTAGAGAGCCATACCCCAGCTGAGGATTGCAAATCCCACATTCATCTACACTCACCAACATCACATAGTACATACCTCTTCCAACCTCTTCCTTGTCTTGTCGATCTCTTCTTGGATTGACGGAGATCGTTTCGTCACCTGTGTTCATGTCATTGTTAATGATGTCATCATGACATCAACATATATACCTTCTCTGGAGTTTTCACAGCTGTCACCTCGATATCTGTCTCTCTCTCTTCTTTTCCTTCCACAGCATTACTCTTGTCTTTCTCTGTCTCTCCTCCCACTTCTCTCTCTTCCATCTCTCCCTCGTTTTCGTCTGTTGTTCTTTCTTCCTCTCCCCCTCCTCCCTCTTTCTTCTCTTCCCCTCCTCCCCCCTCTTCCCCTCCTCTCTCAACCCTACTCTCGCTACTATCGTCTTCCTCAACCAGTGGCATTGGTTCCACAGGGGGTGTGGTCAGCCGAGCAGGTAGAGGCAGATCAGGAGACGACCAGCTTCTCCTACTGGCCGTCACGTTCTGAGACCATCCTGGGAGCTTGTGCCTGGAAAGACATTATGTGACAAGAATTTGGCAATAATTGTGGACTGCATTACAAAATCTAAACATGTCCACAGAACTGCCAACTTTCGGTTACACAGATGTACAGTGAGTTTGCGATGGGACAACTAGTGAGGCAGTTGCTCACTTGCCACTCTGGGAGAAGAACCTGGCGGAGATGGAGAGACGGAGGTCGCGAGGGTCAGTCGGCGAGCGGGCAAAGAAGTCATCGGCTGCCTTCTCTGAACCCAGGCTCTCAAACGTTGTCTTCATGAAGTCCTTTAGTCCCTCTGGAGACGAAGTTTGAGAGGTTCCGGACCCTTCTCCCTCCTCCTCCTCTTCCTCCTCTTCCTCATCTTCCTGCACCACATAATGGAAGTTAAAATAACACAATGCGTTGTGTATGTACGCAGGACCTGAACGGAGTCTGCCGGAGGTCTGTTCTTTGCCTTCTTCTTTGGTGTGGTGACCTTGAACCCACTGAGGAGAGAGAGAGAGAGAGAGGGAGGGTAAGGTAAGGTTAGAGGAAGTGTGAGACCTGGGATCAACGGCTGGAGTCACTGGAGGAGGAAAGAACACGTCTCCATCTTCATCTTCGTTCCTCTTCTCTTTCTCCGGCTACAAAACACTCTTAACTACTTCACAACGAGTGTGAGAGGCAAACTTACACTGGTCAGGTCAATGACAGTAATGGTAACGTCCTGCAGAGGAAATATACAACTCAGTTCTATACAACTAACACTAGTCATAGTTTCTGAACCAAAACCTCACTGTGACTGTGGGCATCAACCAGTGGCAATGTACTAATGACAGTGAGACTCATACATTAGGACGCTAGACACAGTCAGTGGTAGTGACTCACTGGTGCACTGGCAGTTCTATTGAGGAGCGGAACATCAGGATCTCTAGCCACCCTCTGTGATTTTACAGACACAACAAACGTTCCACTGGAACAAGGAGTAAGATAAGAGACCCACCTCAGCCCAGCGGCCCTCCACTCCTCCTCCCTCATCTCTCCCTCCCTCCACCCCTGCCTTCTCCAGCGAGGATGTGCTGAAGCTCTGGGCGATGGAGGGTCTTGCCTGGACATGTCTCTTGGCCCAGGCTGGCAGCTGACTCACACTCAGTCTGAAATGACCATCTGCAGTGTGGAGAGAGAGAAAGACGAAATCTGCCATTGCGAAAAACCTCAGGGTCAATTTTTAGGTGCATCACAGTTTGGTGTGTTTACATCTCTAAGGTCAAAGGTCAAAGGTATAATATAGCTTCCACTGAGTTCAAGCCAGAAACTGTGCTGCAACAATTCCAAATAGCGAATTTCGAGTAAAGTTAGAGTCTCTTACCGTCACTGCTGTCAATCTCCTCGCTGCCAGCGGGCGTGCCTCTCTCCTTGCTCACAAAATACGTCTCTCTCCGCAGCGGCGACGAGGGAGGGGCTTTAATTGGAGCGAGTTGCAGGGGTGCGGTCACGGGAGCTCCGATTTCAGTCAGTCTGTCGTGCATTGTCTGAAGGAAAAACGATTACAACAGCTGGGGGTTCTTGAAATTGGAGCAAAAGAATGTTAGTGTACCTGAGTGAGGTCCTCTGATAGATGCCATATGAAGATACACCTGTTCATGTGACTATCATGTGAGTGTCATGTGACTCTCATGTGACATACCCATCACCAGAGACTGAGTAGAGGAATCTGCAGTCAGTGCTGAACTTTACCTGCGTCACCACCTCTGAGAGAGGGAGGAGAGTCACACACTCAGAGAGGGAGGAGTGGGTGAGAGAGTAAAGAAAGAAAAGAAGAGAAGGTACGTACCTGAGTGGCCGTAGAGTTTCGCAAGGCATTCTCCGGAGTAAAAATCAAAGAGAGACACAGTCTTATCAGAGCTACTGCAGGCCACATACAGTCCTGAAGGATCCATGGCAACCTGCACACACACAACACACGCCTGAAAGATTGCAATCTGAAATTACGGACTGACTTTTATTAGAGAGCCTTCGTCTCCTGTTGAGGCTTTGATTACAGCCTTTTGCTTGCCTGAAGATAGCTGGTAGACTCTGTGTGTGAAACACAGAGAAGACGCACACACACACAGGGAGAGAGAGAAAGAGAGGTGATCCTAACTTGTGGTGGTATAACTATCACACTGGGAGCAGACCTGAGGAGTCTGTCTTGGCCTGCAGTCACCATATGTTTGCCGACTACGTCGATATCCATGTCGTAGATGGAGGACTTGCAGGCAATGTGAGAGGTTCTCTGGAACTCGGGGCCTGGAGACTGAGTGAATGGGGACCTCACTAACACCATGTGTGCCACCTCTAGAGAGGTGGGTGACCTCTCTCACTTTCTGGAGGGTTCTGAACATGATAGACTTGTCGGCTCCGCAGCTCAGCAACTGGAGATCTCCCCTCACTGTACATATATATACAGGAAGACAGATTGATCAAAGGAGAGAGAAAGAGGGAGAGGGGTTAGATGGAAGGAAAGAAGTTGATTACCGGTGAATCGCAGGGCAGTGATAGAAGCAGAGTGGTCGTCGATGGTCTGAACATGCTGGTAGTGTTCTCCAGCAGTGAAGACGTGGATGAGTCTGTCTCGACTTGCACTGCACATGAACTGCAGACCTGAACCAACACAAGACGACGGTCAACCTCTGTGGGAGTTCCAATTAGAGCCCACCATCACTGAGAGGGGAGTACTCGATGCAGAGGACCTCAGAGTCGTGAGCCTCGACTTGAAACACGACATCCATGAATTGCAGCTCATAAACCCTGCAGCACCACCGGGGATAGTGTGAGAGGAGAGAGAGGGAGAGAGACTGGCTCACCTGATGTTGCCAGCTCTGTCTCCCAGAGCCAGTTGGTGGCCTCGCGGGTGGAACTTGGCACAGCGGACACCTCTCTGCATGTCCGCCACTGCACTCGCATCTCCTGTAACACAACACAACACACTGGGATAAACAGGTCTCAAAGGCAGACAAGGGGGAGGGGATGTAAGGAAGAGAAAGGGTAAGCCATACCGGGGTATTTGCTGGCGTCAGAGAGAGAGGAGAGGTCTGAACTGGTATATATGACTCTCTTCAGTTCCTATAGAGAACACACACCCACTGACTGGAGCACACACACACTACCACCTCTTTACCTTAGAATACACATTTCTGACCAAACTAGAGGCTGCGGAGGAAGAGTACTCGTAACCACACCCATTAAATGAGGCCACGCCCACCACTCACCTTGTCGGGCCAGTCCAGGAGTGTCCATGCTCCAGAACCTGGCAGTGTTGTCAGTGGAACATGTGACCAGAGTGGAGGGAGGCAGGACGCCTCCTTCTGGTGGAGAGGGGTATAGCTGGAGGGAGGGAAAACCAGACAATCAGTAATCACTGCATTCTTGTATATACTCTTTCACATTTCTATATGTACAATGTACAATACAGTAGTGAGTTAATGTTTTCACATGTTTTGCAGAAAGAAGCTGTCGTGCAAAATAGTATGGTAAGATGCTAACACAGAGGTCCCATATGCAGGCACTGTGATGGAGAGACGAGTGAGTCTTTCGTATCTGACGAAGGTTCCCCACGTCCCATACGTAGTGACTGTGGTCGCTGTACACCACCGACAACTGAGGGGAGAGGGAGAGAGAGAGAGAGAGAGAGAGAGAGAGAGGGAGAGAGAGAGAGGGAAATTTCGGAATTTTGCAAATTTCCGATAACCTCAAAATGAGTATATAGCATGAAATAAAAATTCTGCAAACTCAACTGACCCTCTTGTGGTTGAAGTCGAGGGCTGTTGCAACAGTGTCTGGATATTTCTCCCCTTCGTTCTGTTGACTGTGGAGAGAGAGAGAGAGGGAGATGAAGAGGTAGGGGGAGGCGGGGTTAGAGGTCACCTGGGGTTCAGAGGGAGGGCCACGTCAACTCCGAGAGGGTGAGGGAGTGGCACGGTGAGCAAGTAATCCAAGGTGCAAGGGTCAAACAGTCTGACCACGCCCTCACCACACCCACAAATGATGTAAGACTCACAGAGAGACAGACTCCGCCCGGGCCTTGCCTGGGGAGGTAAAAAATGGGCGTCGAAATGCTCAAGGATGTTGCAAGCTTTAATTTTGAGAGAGATCAACAGAAGCTTTTGGTAACATTAATGTTCTGTGGGTGAGGGTAATTTGTACCATTAGGAAAACAGGCAATTTTTAATTCTCATTGATTTGCGAGTGTTTCATCTCATCAGAGTATGGACAGACCTGAACGTTGACAAACTGATCCAGAGACCTGTCGTGACCAAACTTGCACAGCACCCCAGTCCTGGTCAGAACGTAGGTGTAGGAGGAGATGGAGCCACGCCCACATTCTACCGCCACGAAACAGTTGTCCTGTAGGTCACCAAGGACGGCCGAACGCCCCTTCAGAGGAGCTGTATGCTGGGGGGAGAGAGAGAGAGAGAGATGGTAATGAAGTTGACTGGGTGTGGGAAAACCAACAGCCGTGCAGATGTGGTAAGTGGAATAGTAGATAAGTAATCAAAACAGTGGTGTGTCGTCTCACGTTTTCCTCCCGACCGGAGGGAAGCATGGTCCAGAAACGAACCCTCCGATTCCCGGCCGTCACAAAATACTTGCCGTCCTCTGAGAAAGAGAGTCCGTAGACTTTGGAAGTGATCTTGTTGGTTGCTACACGGTGACCCGACTGGTTGGGGAATTGTGAGGGAGGGAGGATAGGGACGAGGGTAAGCATTGTCTCTTACTTTCCAATTCCACACATGGATGTGCATGTCGTGCTGGTAGCCCACAGAGACCAGGTACTTCATTGAGGGGCTGAACGCCTGCACAGCAAAGAGGTCAGTGTATGAATAATTCATGAGAAGGGGCTGGCTTACCATACACTGGACCCCATACTTGTGGGCCTTGAGCTCCGAGACATGACTGGGAGACCCGGCCACGTTCCATACCTGGACGCTGGGCTGGTGCCCATACTGGAATGGAACACAGACCAGAAGAATTGGAATGGAATATTAGATGAGTTAAGGGCATATAATTATATTAACCTCTCCAATGGCTAGATACTTTCCGTCAGGAGAGAGACACACAGCTGATATGGGTTTCCTGATGGTTGCAACATTATGGAGAGAGGATATGCAGTGAATGGTGGGTGAAAGGTGGGAGATTGAGAAACCCACTTTGTAGTGTTGAGAATGTGGAGCTGTCGTCCGTTTGCATTGGGGAGGTGCAGAACCGCCACACACCTAGAGGGGGGGGGGAGGTGGTGGAAGAGGAGCATGCACTAGAGCCAGCTCTGACCCTGCAGGGTAGGTGACGCAGCCAGTCTCAGAGCTGACCGAGAGACCGTTGCTGGTGACACACGTCAGACCCACTATCTTCTCCAGAGACACCTGCAGGAAGACAGAGTTAGCAGATCAACAGCAGGCGGGGGCCCTTCCCCTCTCTCTCTCTCAAACGACTCCACTATCTCCACGGCCTTCTGTTTACTACGAGAAATGTACTGGTCGGAGGAGGAGCTCTTGCCTTGTGCCCGTGACTCTGTCTCCTTCGTCTCTTCACCAGCGATAGCGGCGCTGGAGACCCAGCTGCACTTCTCCTAGACATCCCCTGCAAATGCGGTAAACTGGGGCCAGCAAGTGAAAGGTGAAGGCGGAAAGGGGGGAGAGTAGAAGTTTGTCCGACAGCTGTGCCCCCCCGCTCAAATCAAACCTGGCCGGTCAAATGCGCGCGCGCCGCCAGATAATGCCACGCCCTACAATTTGCCAACTCTTCGATCGATAGCTAGACAAGATCAAGACACATAAGATGATCCTGCGTGTAGATCTCTGAGGAGGTTGGATCTCGTTTCGGCGGAAGAGTACAACTCTACCCCAAGTCCCGGTGAACCCGACCACTCCGGCTGGCCCGCGAGAGGTGGACGACAGCTACGGTATAAACATAGACGTCAACTTTCTTCCCCCACCCTCACCCCGCGTGTGTGAGCCATGGAGAACAGTCCAGTCGTTACAGTCAACAACGGCGAGGACGGGGCAGCGCCGTCCGTGGCGGGCAACCCGAAAACAGTACGTTTCCAGTGCGGACTGCTGCGAGAAACGGAGACGTTTGCCGAGGAGGACTTGCAGGACGTATCGTTGGCTGCGCTCCTCGAGTACGTGGACGAGATGCTCAACATAAAGGTATCGGATCTGCGTGCTCGTGTGGGCTGGGTAACGTGTAGCCCAGCCTCATACTTTAGGGTAGAGAGGGAGTGTGAGCTGGTTCAGCTCTGGCCTGTGTGTGTATTGTTACTGGGGCCTTGTATGGTAAACGGTGGAGGACAACCATAAACAGTCTAGAGAAAGTAGAGAGTGGGAGAGAGAGAAAGTGTGTATGAGAGAGAAGGCATGGTGTGATGAATGGTAGATGTACAAAGACATGGGTGTGACTGGATGCAAGAGTAAGCACTCGTACTACGAACCAAATATGCTCCTAGCATATGGATCTGAGTCCCAGCTATGGCTGAATGTGGCCAGGCTGACATGAAGGTAGTTCTGCTGTGACAGCAGAACAGGAAACACTGGGTGGGGAGGATATGGACCATATATGCTCCTCCAGTCTGCTGTCACTGGTAGAAACTGCTCTGTATTATAACACACAGACTCACAGAGGCCAATCTCTTAGCTCTGCTTCCCAAACCCAGCACCCGTGAATACACTCTTGCCTCCAGACACAATATCTGGTTGTTTGTTTAACCATGGCGATGTGAGTGTCCCATTCCCATTCCCCAGTTCCCGGAGCACCCGTACGGAGACCTGGGTGAGAAGCTGCTGCTGTTCAGACACACCCCCAACAACTCCCTGGTTCCTCTCAGGGACAAAGAGAACATCAGAGACGGCGACATCATTGAAATTGTCCTCTCAGGTACATATATAGTCTGTTTATTTGTTTTATACCCTCAAAAATGGTTCTTATCTCCTCTCTCTGAAAATGGAGTTTCTCTCTCTCACTTTCTCTCTCTCACTTTCTCTCTCTCACTTTCTCTCCTCTCACTTTCTCTCTCTCACTTTCTCTCTCTCACTTTCTCTCTCTCACTTTCTCTCATGCATTTTCTCTGGGCACTCAGCTACACAACCTCTTCCATTCACTTCTCATTTGGTGGCTGTACATTCAACACGCCACCTTATTCAACCAATTCACTCCCTGTGTGTGGGTAGCTTGTACCTCTACAACAGACCTACATGAGAGATGTGCATGTGTGTGTCCACTAGTGCTCTTGTGAATGTTGGATTCATAGGCACCGGCATTGAGCCTCCAATACCACCAGACCCTGCCTGTTGTGCAGTAAACTCTGTGGAACAGCGTGCGTGCATATCTATCTCCCCTCGTTTCCTGTTAAATGTGTGTGTGTGTGTGTTTGTGTTCTGTAGCCACAATTCCCAGTCTCTATTTGTTTGTATTTACATGTGGACCAGCTGCTATCTCACTGCTACCTGGTTGCCCAGAACTCCTGTTACACCAGAGAAAGATTGTTTTTGTGTCTTTGTGAAAGTTTATAGTGCCTATCAGGTCTTGGTGTCTGCATGCCTTGCTCCATCTCCCACTGTATCGAGTTTCATGAACACATTGTTACTCTCTCAGTGGAGCGTCTGCATGTGAGCAGTTGGCATGTGGAAACTGTTAATGTTGATGTGTAGATGCAGTTATGGACTGGCCATCACAGACTGTGTGACCCACCGTCTCTGGAATGGCATATACACCTGTCTTCTTACTGATTCTGTTTTCATCACATGTATCCATCATCCCCTCCTTCCTTCTCCTCTCCTTTAGCTGATTCCAAACAAGAATTCGACGACACTATATGTCCCCATATTCTGACGGTCAATACCTACACTGGAGGAATCTTCTGCGACTATTGTGGAGAGCTGCTGTTTGGGCTCCTCAAGCAGGGACTCAAGTGTCAAGGTTTGTTTGTGTTGATTGAGAACTGTTTGCATCATTAGCTGTTCCTGTAAGGTAGCTCTAGTTTTGTGCGTGGTTCCCATTCTTAACGAACTCATTCTTATCTTGGTGTTCAGTTGTTTCTTTTGCCCCCTCCCTTCTGCTTTATCTTTCCCTCCCTCCCCCCTCTTTCTCTTGATTGGATTGTGAAATGCCGCCCTCCCCTCTCTCCATTTGTCTCAGGATGTGACAAGAACTTCCACAAGAAATGTGCCTACCACATCCCCAACAACTGCACCAGACTCAGGACGGCAGAGGGCATGGCAAACTCGGTGACCCCGCGACCTCCGCAGCAGGTGTGGAGCGGGCGTCCGCTGTGGATAGACCGCACCCTCAAGGCACGCCCACAGGTCCCCCACACCTTCTTCAGTCTCACCTGCAAGAAGCCGACGGCCTGTTCTCACTGCAAGAAGATGGTCAGTTCAACATCACCGTGACTCCCGTAATATAAACCCACTATTGCGGTCTCTACCCACTCCACATACACAATATGCCATGAGCCGCAAATAAGCTGAAGGCCGAACCTGCTCTGAGTACAATGGGTGGCAGAGGGTGCTAACGAATAGTGGTTTTCAAATTTCCTTTTCCACAGCTGCCCGGCAACACTTACACCTCAGACACCCACTTAGTGACCTAATTGCATGCCAGAACTTCCTAATTGGTCATTGCAGCTGAGTGCATTCCACAGATTCTCTCCGTTTGAAAGTGAAGTAATAGTACGCGAGCCTCACTGTACTGCATACATACATAACCTGGGAATGAAATCTCTCTCTCTCTTTCTCTCTCTCTCTCTAGCTGAAGGGAGTATTTCGTCAGGGGCTCAAGTGCAAGGATTGTAAGATTGTCATCCACAAGAGATGTGCGCGGGAACTTGGGAACAATTGTCTAGGGGAAGTCCCGTCACTGAGTCGGGTGGACAGCGGCGAGTGGAGTGAGTCTCAGTCCAAAACTTATCGTTGTTCAGTAGCAAAATGGAGAAAACCTTCGCACATCCACTGGTCCCGTAATACAAATGTCTCCATGACAAAATTCTCTTGAGAAAAACTGCAAAATTCTTCTCCTTTGAAATGTTCCCATTATGGTATAAGTATAAGATCCAACTAGTTGAACCTATGTATATACCTGTTTATAATGCTCTCCAGGTAATGCGACTCGAGGGGTGATTGCTAACGAACATCTTCTGTCGTCTGAGGAGATCAGTAGTCTGAGTACGGGGAGTGTGGGCGGGGCCAGTGTGGGCAGCGACGGTACGAGAGAGGGGGCGGGGTCTGGGGAGCCGGGGGAGCAGAGGGAGGAGAGCCCCGCCTCGGCCAGACAAGAACAGGATCACTACGAACCCCCTGTGGTGAGTTGAACGGGTGAACCTCCCGTTAAGTGTGAGAACTCCTCTACATGCAACCTAGTCCTCTATTAGAACCCTCTCACTTGTTCCTGTTTCATGACAGATAAAAACTTGCAAAAATTTCTCTTATGAAAAAAGTTGTTGCCACATGTGTGTACCTATTATGTACAGGTAATGGTCTCATCTGTGAGTGTGTGTCTTTCTATCAGTCCCCATCAGACTTCCCTGTGTCCACAATGGACGCCATAGCAGAGGAGCCCAGTGGAGAAGACACCACCAGCAACGAAGGCTCAGAGCACAACGTTGCAGAGCCGCACGACTCCTCTGACAACATAAAGCTCCAGAGAGTGACTGGAGTGTCCTTCAGACACACAAAGGCTCCACCAGCTTCCATCCTCAAGGAAGGCTGGATGGTCCACTACACCAACAAGTCCGACATGGTGAGTCGACTGTCTCGGTGGTCATGTGACTCTCATGTGATGATCATGTGACCTGCTGCAGAGAATGAAGTTCTACTGGAGACTGGACACCAAGTGTCTGACTCTGTACAAGTCAGACACTGGCTCGCACTATCACAGAGAGATAGCTCTCGCAGACATGTTGGCCGTCGATCAGATGGTGACCCCTGAACTTTACCCTCTGACCCCACCCCACGTGTTTGAGATAGTTACCTCGGCGATGACCTACTACGTGGGGGTAGACATGACGGGGGCACTGTCGTCTGACCTAAAGCCATCTGGGCCTACTGATTGTGAGTATACATGTACATGTATGTACAGCAGCTCTAGAACCACTAATACTGTCTAGTTCATTTTGTGTGTCTTGCAATGTCTGTGTCTCACGAACTATTGTAAGTATTGGACCATGTACATCTCTGTCGGCCCACAGCGGGTGCCATCAACCTGCTGGGAGACGTGAGTCACATGACTCTACCTGAACTGGAGGATATGGGGATGGGACTGAATGTTGGGGTTCAGTGGGAGGAGGCACTGCACGCTGCCCTCATGCCGGTCACACCTCAGTGCAGCATGGGCTCCCTGGCTGAGAGTGAGTTACTTACCCCCACATCCTCGTGTATATTAAACAGCCAATAGTTGCTGAAGAAAGAATAGCGATAAAGGAAGGGAATGTCATTGTGCTTGGAGACATAATATTGAGGCTTGCATACTCATGTGAATGACTTGGTGCATGCCACAAGATGTGTGAGAACTGATGAGTGTGCACATTTCACAGCCCCAAGCCCTCTCCCTCCCTCCCTCCCTCCCTCTCTCCCCAGTTGGACGAGGTCCTTCTTTCAGGAACAGAAGAGGCTCCATGAAAGGATCTCTACGGGGCAGTTTCCATGGCAACAGAGGCAACTCGTTTCGAGGGGGGTCAATCAGGGGTCGTCGGGGGTCAAAACGAGGCTCGTTCCGAGTCCCGAAACCTGGAATGAACCCGGGGAAGGTGTCGCCTAGCAACCTCATCAAACCTAAAGTGGAGACAAGACTGGATATCAGTCTCTTCTACCAGGTATACATACACCTTGATCATGTGACAGTCACATGATCATCAGACTCTGGTCATGCGACCTCTGCAGGTATTTCCCGAGGAGATCCTGGGATCTGGTCAGTTTGGAACAGTCTATGGAGGCAAGGAGACTTTCTTTGTTGATTTTCATCTCCCTTCTCCCTCTCTCTCTCTTTTTCTCTCCATTTCTTGATTTTGTGCAGCAGTATATTGTGCTGTGTACTAAGACTCCCTCCTTCCTCTGCCCCCATGCAGGCCAGAACAGACACACTGCTAAACCAGTGGCAGTGAAGATCATCGACAAGCTGCGGTTTCCTCACAAGCACGAGAGCCAGTTGAGAACGGAGGTGACGATCCTCCAGAACCTCGGTCATCCCGGGATCATCCATCTGGAGCACATGTTTGATACTCCAGAGAGGGTACGTGTTAGTGGAGGAGTGGGAGAGAGAACTACGGTAACTTTTACAGGCATCAAATCGGGTATAATTATACATATGTTTCTGTGAGTGGGCCAGTAGCTATAAATAGAATCGAATTTAGTTTTGTGAGTGTGATAGCCACTTCGTACTCTGAAATGCCAAACCTATGTAGTATTGAGGTAGGGTGGGTGTGTGTCACTGTAGATATATGTGGTGATGGAGAAGATGAATGGTGACATGTTGGAGATGATCCTCAGTAGCCCCAACAGCAAGCTGGACGAGAGGATTACAAAGTTCATGATCTACCAGGTGGGTTAATGCAGACAGCTGCAGACACGTGCCGCGTATGAAGTAGTTCATGATGACCATTTGGCACAGTCAACACAGCTTCACTACACCCTCTTCCTCCCTCCCCTCTCCTCCCTCCCCTCTCCTCCCTCCCTCCCCTCTCCTCCCTCCCTCCCCTCTCCTCCCTCTCCCCCAGATCCTGACAGCTCTGCAGTACCTCCACAAGAAAGACGTGGTCCACTGTGACCTGAAGCCAGAGAACGTTCTGCTCACCTCAGAGAACGGAATGCCGCAGACTAAACTCTGCGACTTTGGCTTTGCCAGAATGATTGGGGAAAAGTCCTTCAGAAAGTCTATCGTCGGGACCCCAGCTTACCTTGGTGAGACAGCAGCTATTCGACAGTGCGCCCTGACACTATAACAACTGTATACGGATACGTACATCATCCATTTATAAGTCAATCTATCTTTCTACCGTAACTCATTTTTATTGCAGCTCCTGAGGTGCTAAAGAATGAAGGCTACAACAGATCACTGGACCTTTGGTCTGTTGGAGTTATACTTTACGTCAGGTGAGCAGATAGCCACGCCTATCAGCCACACCCACCTCTGAGTGTGTCACTGATTGACATTCCCGTGTCAGTGTCAGGTTCCCGTGTTTCCATTCCACAGTCTGAGTGGCACATTCCCATTCAACGAGGACGAGGAAATCTCAGACCAGATCCAGAACGCTGCCTTCATGTACCCACCTGACCCTTGGGGCTCCATCTCTAAGGAAGGTGTGTATAACTACAAGTAAAGTAGTGAAGAATGCGTAGATTGGTGTCTGGTATTGTCTGTGTCAATAATGATCTGATGTGTCTGTATCCTAGCGATTGATCTGATCAACAAGCTGCTGCAAGTGAGCAGAAGAAACAGATTCAAGACAACGCAGGCCATGAACCACCACTGGCTCAGGGTTAGCTGCACCCTTCTCTCTTTCCCCTCTCCCTTCCCCCTCTCTCACCTCTTATCATCTCCCCTGGTAATATGGTGTGTGTGGTAAGGGAGAAGGCAAGTAGTAATGGTATCATTTCCCCCACAGGATCTCCAGCTAAGAGAGGATCTCTGCAACCTGGAGGGAGTGCTGGGAATGAGATACTTAACCCACGACGCAGAGGACTCATTCTGGGAGGCCCAGGGTGCCAAGCCACACCCACTAGCCGCCCGAGAAGCTGAGCGGAGAGAAGCTGAACGCAGACCTCCGCCTGTCCACAGCTACCAGAACGTCACCATCCCAATCTCGGGGCCCGCCCAACTCAACGGTCCCAGTTCCGTTCCAGGGGAGGGCGTGGCAAAAACAAACGGTACTGGAAATCTGCAGGGGGTGGGGCTGGTTCCCCCCTCTGGTGGGGAAGACCGTCGCTATGCCTCCAGTTCGACACTCCGGAGTAGCAACGGGAGTACTCCAACCTCCAGCAGGCGGAGTATCGTCGAGATGTCAGACGAAGAGGTAGTGATGTCAGAGGAACATGCAAAGAGGGTTGGGTACAAAGTGAGTACTGTTTGATGACATCGAAACTGCCAGAAAACTGTGTGTGTGCCTTTTCTTCTGGTGCTAGCCACCGGATGTGTAGTTTATTTTTTTATAATTCCAGTGTGTATCCGTCTCCATTCCATTCTCCTGTCTCTATTCCATGTCATATACTTTGTGTACTTGTGTCCGTTGCTATAGCTTCATTTGTAGAGCTGTTTATTATCATACACGACCGACATAATATTTTTGTACCAGAAATAAATTTTTTTTTGCAACTCAAGAAGTCATAAAAGCTGTTTTCCTAAATTATGAGAGAGACAGTTGGTACGGTGTGGTATGAGCATCATGTGATAGTCACATGACTAACCTGATGAAGTTTCTACAACTCTGCTGAAATAACGAGGTGGGAGGAGCCCCTGTTCGTTGCCAGGACACAACACAACGTCGTTGGCAGAGAGGAAAAACTTGTACCCATCTTCAACCACATACATACAGGAGGAGGAGAGCATGAAGAAAAAGGATTTGGCTCTTAATTAACCGTGCATAACACGATCGATGGCGATATACCTGCCAAGGCTTTCTCCATGTCAATGAATATGTGTACCTGACTGCTTGCCCTCATACCTAATTAAAACAGACACGGATTATGATATCACAGAGTATAGTTGGCCACACCCACCGCTAATGACTCCTGAATCTCCAGGAAGACCCTGCGCAAAGTGGATATGGCTTCTCTGCATCCGACTCAGTCCCTGTGTCCCATACCTCCATACCGCGGTACCACAGACTGTGTTATAATATACCTGGTCTCGTATCTTGGTCCACGCCTCCATTCTCGTCCCATGTACCACACACACCACTTCCTCCGGTCTCGTGATCGGTCTCAATTCCAAACCACTCACCTGGAACCGGGACAGGGAAATAAGCCACACCCCCACCAGACCACACCCACCTCCATACTGTGGCCTTGGTTGGCTCGGACAAGCAGTCCTTTGTCTTCAGGTTCCTCCTGCAGAGCAAACCTCTTCTTGTCGTTCCCGGCCACTACCCTCCTCACATCCTCCTCAGTGAAACCACGCCCCCTTGGCAACGAGAGGATGTCAGAAACAGCCACCCAGCCTCCTGGAGGGAGGGAGAGAAATGGGTTATAGAAATTCCATTAAAAGAGTAAGAGTTACACTCTAGTAATTATTCTGTAGTTTAGTCTCTGAGGCAGTTTCTCCACCGACCTTCACGGACAGACAGTCCCAGATCACGTGCCTTGTGGCGGCAGACAAAAGAGAGGAATTTTGACAGCCTCACATCTGGTGTGTCTTCTCTGGCCTGCTGAGACGGAGATGGGGGGAATAGCTAACCACCAGGGAGTTGTGAATTTACTCTTCTCCCTCCTCTCCCTCCTCTCCCTCCTCTCCCTCCTCCTCTCTTCCCACCAGACTCACTACTGTTAGCCATAGAGCTAGTGTTCCTGCACCAGCCCCGCCCTAACACATTGCTCATGCGCGTATGTAAACGGTAGGAGGTAGCGGTCCACGGCACCACACGTGCGGTGGCACCACCAGTTTCTCTCTCTAGCTCTCGGCAGTGAACCTCCTCGTCAGTACAGTAGAGAAGAGAGATGAAGCGCGGCGGGGAAACCAGCCCTCGTCACATGACGGGAGGCAGTCTAGTCAGCCAGTGGACGAAGATAGCCGGCGTCGTCTGCTCCTACTGGTCTGTGTGTGTGCCTCCACAGGACTCGAGGTATCTCTCTCTCTATCTTCAGGTTCATCTCCATATCCATGGTCTTCCTTAATAAATACCTCCTCAGCAGCAAGACATTGAAGGTAGTTCACCCTTTATTGCTATATCTCTGCACTCTCCCTCCTGTCTCGGGGCCCCCCCTCTCCAGCTGGATGCTCCTCTGTTCATCACAATGACCCAGTGTGCTGTAGCGGTTGTGGTGTTCACGTTTCTGGCGGTCAGCAGCAAAAACTATGACTTCGTTTCCTTCCCCGAGATAAACTTCAGCATTGCCACTGCTCTCCAGGTGCCCTTTGCCTGCATTGTGTCTCCAACAAAACCCATTATTGACTTCTGGAAGTGCTTTTAGTGCATAAAAGAAGCTAAGTGCCTACAAATTGTCCTCCCACTCTCACCTCCCTCTCTCACCTCCCACTCTCACCTCCCTCTAGGTCTTGCCCCTGTCGGTGGTATTTGTCTCAATGATAACATTCAACAACCTGACCCTCAAGTTCCTGGGTGTGGCATTCTACAACGTTGGCCGCTCCCTTACCACAGTCTTCAATGTGGTAAGTATTGCCTTGGGATGGTGTGTTGGTTTAGGTACATGTTACTGCATGAAGCTATAGCCTATAGTGAAATCATAGAGTTAGGCTTCCATTCTTTGCGTTTGGCTTCAACTTTGTAATCATCTTCTCTCTCCTTCCTCCTGGCAGGTGTTCTCATATGCAGTTCTGGGACAGACTCTCTCGGTGCAGGTCATCACGTGTTGTGCAATCATCGTGTCGGGATTCCTACTGGGCATCAAGGAAGAGCACTCCAGTTCCACTGACGACCAGAGCCACGCCGGGTTATCTGTGTCTGGTATCGTCTGCGGTATCCTCGCTTCACTCTCCGTCGCACTCTACGCCATCTATACGAAGAGGGTTCTACCCATCGTAGACAGCAACATCTGGAGACTCCAGTTCTACAATAACCTGAATGCACTTCTCCTCCTCATCCCTCTCGTCCTCATAATGGGGGAGGTCGGGACCCTCCGCAGCTTCCGGTTCTGGAACAACCCAATGTTCTGGGGGTTGATTGTAACGGCTGGCGTGTTTGGCATCGCCATTGGCTACGTGACTGCCCTGCAGATCCAGGTCACCAGTCCACTGACACACAACGTGAGCGGAACTGCAAAGGCAGGGGCTCAGACCGTCCTGGCCTGTGCCGTGTTCTCCGAGACTAAATCTGGATGGTGGTGGTTGAGTAATGCTATGGTGCTCGCAGGATCATCGGCCTATACTTACGTCAGGATGTCGGAGATGAAGAAGAGCAATGGTAATGGGGTTGGTAATGGAGGGGCAGGGGGAGGCAAAGAGGGGAAGAAGACACTGTTAGTAATGGAACAGGACAGTGAGGAGGGGCCTGTTCCTAAGCCATGACATGTTGTTGTTCATCCTAACACTCTCAACAACATGCACAACTTTATAGAGGTTTTTTAATGTTTTTTTCTGCAACAATGATGACGATATCATACAGTCTGAGAGTCAGCAGTGAAAAATGTGACTTGTCCGTTGATAGTGGCCGTTGCCAGCTAACCCCACATGTAGCAAGAGAAAGAATAGGTCAGGGTGTAGTTACTCAGGTAGTGCCAAACTTTTGAGGCGATAATTTTTAGGAACAGCAGTTTTAAAAGGCTCTCAGAAACAGAATATTTTGAGCATCGGCACCTCAAAAGTGGGGTACCCCAAAAGTGTGGCGGTGTGTACAGCTATTACAGTACCATGGGAGATAGAGGGTGGAAGGTCACAGAGGTCACAGTGTCCGAATGGCCCGAAAGCTTGTGAAGAGGAGACAGGGTTCGAAGGTCGTAGATGTATGCCTACATATAGAGAAATCAGACAGAGAATTATGCAACACCCGGCAGCTATAGGTCTGTCCTTCCCCCCACTTGCTGGCTAAAGAACAAGACTCTACGTGGCCAGTAGTAGTACTGAGAGGATAACCCACAGATCTGTCCTCTGAGCCAGTGGCAATGAACCTGGAACACGGACTGAACTCTGCAGTCACCGCGTGGCAGCGGCTCACGTGGGCAGACAGACATCTCACACACCTGGAGCACGAGAGAAATGAACCTCTGCCCCTCCTCCCTACTCCTCACCTGTCACTGCGGAGGTCCCATAGTTTCACTCCATCTGTAGGGGCAGCAGTGAGGAAGAGATCGTAGGCCCAGGATGGATGAGCCACCCCTCGCGACCCCTGAACGTCAAATCCAAAATATGGCTGTCAATGTACATGGCTACAACAAGCTGCACTGACCTTGTTGAGCCCCGCCCAGTGAGGCGGTCGGGTGTGGCAATCCCCCATGTACCTCACACTCCGCCCGACGTTCATGTCAATTACATCGACACTCTTATTAGAGCCTCCCACCACCACCAGGTCTGATATCTACTGAGTCAGGGATCACTCCATCACAGACTAATTCAGTCAGCACATATAATAGCAACAAGCTATATACTTCCCCTAAGTTTGTCATTGGGGATACGGGAGAGGAATTCGTTGATGCAAGACATACAAGTAATGGACTGTGTCTTCTCCATTGGCAGAGTTTGGACCAGTTTGTACCCACTGCTGTTGAGGTACCTGCAGAATGCCGAGACCTCTTCCTCTCTCATTCCTCTCTCATTTCTCTACCTCTTGATGTCGTCCGTTGGCTGGGAGTGGATGTGGTATTTGTAGAGGTGGAGTGAGTTTGAGGAAGAGAGGAGAAGGAACTTGTCGAGATAGTAGAAGACGGCGCGGGAAATGGCGGCAGGGAAACCAGACCCACCGGCCTAGGATTCCCGGGAGAAGGGTGTGAGAGGAAGAAGGGGAGGGAGAGGTGGAACATACAGTGGACTTGAGTTTTGATGTGCTCTGAGACTGGGAGATGGTAAGGAGAGGATCCTTTTGGGTCGGGGTCCACAGTTTGGCCGTCCGATCCGCGGATCCTGTCAGCAGTAGGTCTCCACTGTGACTCCAGTCAACACTCTGGACTGTCCCATCGTGACCTGCAGTCAGTTCGAGTTTTAGCTCTCTCTTTTCTCTCCTCTCATGCTCACCAGTGAGGGCCTGAATCTTTCCCTGAGAGGGAGGGAGCCTCAGAAGGTATACTGCCGTGTCAGCAGCTCCACAACTCACATATCCACCATCCCCTGTTCAGTAAAGGAAGGCCTATTGTGATGTGTGTGTGTGTGTGTGCACGCACCACTGAAGGAGAGGGATGTGAGAGAGGTGGGGGAGGAGGAAGGTTGGAGTCGACAGAGAACATGTGCTGGAGCTCCTCTCTCCAGAGGATAGAGTCTGCAGTGTGTGAGGAGATGTATATCTCTTTCCCCTCTCCCTCTCTACGCTCACTTTCTCTCCCTGGTCTTAGGTGGTGCCGGGGTCTTGGTCTTTGATCTGCCACCAGTTGACGGAGTAAACATCTTCGTTCTGGAGGGAAGAGAGAGAGAGAGTAACCAATATCTCGCTCTTTAGAACCCTCGGTTTCCTCTCCTATTTTAAACCATATCTAGTCTCCCCTCTACAGTAGGATGTCTGTGTGTACCTTGGAGGTACGGTGTAACCAGAGCTTTTGACTTTGTTTCTGAAAGTCAGGGGTTTGTCTGCCACTGCTCCACCACTAGTTCCGCCATTCTTCTTCCTCCCCACTGGCCCTAGCGAGAGAGATGGTACGTACGTCTGGTCTACAGACTAACTCACCTGTTGACTGCTTCGGTTTCGTGGTTTCGGGGCGTGGTTTCGGGATGAACTCTGACCTCAGTACAGAGTTTGGAGCCAGTGGAGCTCTGTATAATTATCACAACAATGATATGTGTGACATTCTTTCAGACTAACCTTGAAAGAAACGATAGCATTTGTTCGTAGATTTCTTGGCTGTGTTTCTCTCTCTATGAGAGTGCAATCATCAGTTTAAGTTTCAGCAATTGAAACGGTACCTGTGTACCTTATTTGGAGGTAGACTGAGTGTCAGTAGAGACACAGTTTTCTCAAACATACCATTCAACACAGAGTAGACCTTTAGAACAGAGATTGCAGGGTACATATTTCTATTACTAACATGTACTTATGTTCTAACCTGATTATCAGTGGGACACGTGGTCATGGTAGAGGAGGTAGCAACAGGCAGAACAGTCAGGGGTGGCATCACACAGGAGGGAATTGGGTCTGGGAGATGGAGAGAAAGTAGAGAGTGTTCAGTGGTTGAGAGACCTCCGACCAGACCGACCTCTGAACTCCAGGAACCCCACTGCCTGGAGGGTGTTAGTGTCCAGAGCCAAGATGGAGGAGTGTCCAGCCACCAGCAACCTCCCTGTATCTAGTACTGCTTCACTTCAGTGGGAGGGAGAGAGAGAGAGAGAGTGGTTCAGTTGGAGTAACAATCAGTCGCAACCTGAGGGCACTTCACTAAATGGACACTTTCTTTGGGGTCGGGATTGACCTGATCTCTTTCGGAAGTCTCTGGTTCGAGGACAAGGAGGAAGAAGAGGACCAGTAATGAAGACCGAGAACTGCAGTCCCAGCCTCTGTCTCCTCTCCACCCTCATCCTCCTCTCTCTCTCCTCCCTCATGGCGGGCCAGGATCCTGTCTCTCTCCCTCCACACCTCACACTGGAGCAGAGCTCTATAGCCACCTCTCGGGCTCATGTCCAGCTGCCACAGCTGCAGGGATAAGTAAAACTGATACCCTTCTCGTGTGAGCTGTACATAAACTTAGGAGGCAATAAGGTTCAGCTGTTTGTCAGCCATCGAGAGCACCAGTTATACCTTTCCATTGGCTGCAGTAACAGCTAACCTATCACTGTCGATCTACTGGACCACACAGTGTCCGAGGAAGAAGCTAGCATGGATAGAAAGAAGTGGTGTGACTGGTGGATGTCCTGGTTTGTGACCAATGCGCTGCCGTCGACAGGACAGGAGATTGGTACACGACACAGCCTTCTGCCACGTCCCACACCTGATGTACATAATAGTTGGCATTTGTTTGCATTTGCATGAAAAATTCGATTCCTAACAATCCTCTGCTTTTTGAAGATGTGAGGGAAAGTCTCTGCCGTGTACCTTGAAGGTGCGGTCTTGGGAGGTAGTGATGAGTGTGTGTGAATGGTGAGGGTGAAAGATGGCGTGGGTGATGGGTGACAAATGACCGCTCAGTGTCTTCTCCCGAGTTCCTTTCTTTACCAAAGAGAAGCAGTGAGAGAGGAGAGAGAGGACAGTGGCAGAGAAAATCAGGAGCATAATATACGACATTTGCAAATGAGATTATTGGAGGTGAACTAAGGGGGCGAGGAATAAATTGAGGGTTAAAAGGAGAGAGAAAGAGGAGCGACCTGGGGCCACAGAGACGAAACACATCACTGCACACACGAGCCAGATTACAAGGCAGTTTAGAGTGAGAGTTGAGGGCAGAACCACTTTCAACACCGACTGCCCCACAGAGGAGCCAGAGCCACCGGCTGGCACGGAGGACCGTCACCTGGAGAGAGAGGCAGCCATAAAACCCTCTCCATATCCCTCTCCCTGGCTCACCGGGAGACAGAGGGAAGGCTCCCTCCAGTCTCCACAGGACGAGGAGGTCTCTGGAGACGGAGGCCAGCTGCAGAGGAGAGGAGGACGGGGAGAACGCCAGCAGCTCCACGAGCCCCGTGTGCTGGGCTGCAGACCAGGAGCTCTGGAGGAGAGAGAGACGAGCTGGTTGTAGCTGCAATTTGCAAGCTGCCCCACCTCCCCGCGGGCCTTGCGGAACGGGTAGTGGATTTGCAGACGCCCGTCACTAGTTGCTGTAGCTACGACAGGCTCTGGACCGCTCAGACCAACTGCAGAGGCCGTGCAGGCTACAGAGTCGCTGCAAACAGGTACAGTCAAGAGATGCTCGGCTTCCATGACTGCAGCTTGCGCGCGGCGCGCAGTGCAGTAGGCGTGGCTGACAAGGTGCGCATTATTTGGGATCCCGAAAGAGAAACCAGAATCGGACAAAATGGTGAGTAGTGAGTAATCGACAGGGAGCAGTGAGCCCTAAAGAGACGTTTGTTGTTCCACAGGGTCAGCCTCAAAGCTCGGAGGAGGGAAGTCGGCAGTCCTCGGGCCAGCAGCGGGAAGAAGAGAGCGTCCCCTATACAAAGGTATCCAGGGAAGCTCCCGGTGCAAGGTAGACAGACCATTCATCCCAGAGTTGAATATCTCTCCCTCACTCTCTCCTCTAGCGGCAGAGGCAGGGGAAAGAGCAGTCCTCCAAGCACTGTGGTGGGTATCTATGGTGGAGAAACAGTCAATGGAGTTGCTCATTTCTCCTCCTAGAAAGGGATAACGGTGGTGAACCCCAAACCAGATCGTGACTTACGGAGAGCTAGACCTCTGGAGCTCCAGAAACTGGACAGGATCCACAGAGTAAGGCACATCACCTCATGTGACAGTGAGAGAGCGTGTGTGTTCTCTTGCAGTTCTGGCCAATACTAAAGTCCTCAGCACAGTACGACAACCCAGTGGAGAAGGTTTCAGGTATTATAGCAAGAGAGAGACGGGGAGCAAATGCACTTTTCTGATACGAGTATTATGGAAAATGAAAGTTTTGGACATTTTCACTTGCAAATGTCCAAACTGTTTACTAATGAGGTGCATGTATGCCTGCCATTGACATCTTCTTGTTGTGTATTTCAGATGGTCTGGAGTACAGAGACCTGCTGGGAATGTGTACCCGATACCAGAGCCATCTTCGGGACACTGCCGCTGTCGTGGCTGTTGAGCAGGTGTCACCTCACTTTACCACTGTGTACGCTGTTCCTGACCAGTGTTGGTGTTTTAATTAGAGAGCACTGGCAAGTCGACTGAAGGATCTGGAAATGTTCTCGGCTGGCATTGCGCAACAGTTGATCCGCAGACAAGAAAGAATGCAGAGAGCACTCGTGCAACTCGAGAAAGGTTCGAGAATTTTATCCTGTTAGATTTCAAAATGTCTCTCCAATTCAGTGAAAGAAGTGACCAACACACTGGAGGAGATTGAGTCCAGTATAGAGCAGACGCTGCCGCTGCTACAGAGACTGAACCAGCTGCTGCCTGACAGTGACAGACTGGAGCCTTTTCATCTGAAGGAGATCGAGGAGGGAGAGGGAGAGAGAGAGGGCCAGACTGTTGACGATGGTGTAGTGTCCATTGATCATACGTGACTGTGGAAAAGTTTGCGCACGCGCAAAACTGGAGCAGTTTTAGCGGGTGCAAAGGTCGCCATTTGTTTTGGTCTCGTGACTTCAGGGTGCGCTTCAATTGGAGTGTTTTGAACTGCGACGGCGATTGAAGGACGGATTATGTCTTCTCAGGTGTACAACGTGCCGGTGGTGCTGCCTGCACTGCGAAAGGAAGAGTCTTACCGACAACTAGTAGACGCTCTCGAGTACCTGGACGCCGTTGCGACCGACATTTTCAACCGCATCAGCTGCCGTGTAGCGGAGAGCCGCGACCAGCTCACCACCATCAATAACCGGGTAAATGTGGCTCAGGCCAAGATCGACAAGCTCCGTAACAGCAGCAGCAAGGCCACACGGGTCTTCTCCCCGCCCAAGTACCCCGCCCCCGACCTGCTGGCGGAGACCACCACGGTGTACCAGGATGTGAACCCGCTGCTTCATCGAGTGAGGAAGACGCGGGTAGAGATAGGGGCTCGGCTGGAGGAGGTCACGCGGGAAGTAATGGTGGCAAAGAAACACCCGTTTCTCCTCGGCCACAAGCAAAAGAAGAAGCCACTCGACCTGCAGTTTTCCTCAGACGACCCTGAGCAGGGGGAGGGGCTTGGTTCTCTCCCTCGTCACCTCCCCTCTGTCAGTTCCCTCCTCCTCTTCAACACCTCCGAGAACCCCTACAAGAAATACGTCCTCCTGGACCCGCTCTCGGGGGCAAAGGTCAAGACAAGGGACAATCTCGGAGAGAGGGAGGAGCTAGCAGAGGCCCCGGTAACCATCACGCAGGGAGAGGAGCTGCTGAGTGGGCCACATGACAGTGTGATGTACGTCCCCGTCATGCCAGAGCTCCCGGAGCTGGAGGTACCTGATCTCCTTCCCTCACTCCCCTACGTGGCGGCCGACATGTTCTACACGGCTGACATTGGGAAGAGTATTGCTCCGTCGCTGGCCAATGCGTCTGTACCGGAGCTACCTGACCTCGCTGACCCCTCTGCCCCTGCTGCTACTGCTGCTCCAACATCTGGTACGTATACACCACACTTTCGGGGGAGGAAACGTTTCGCGATTTTGTACCATCTACATGGGGAATCTTGCAGCCTCTGCAGTGTTGATGCTGAATGAGTATCAACATCAATACTTTGATTTTTTGGCTTAAAAATCAAATCCGTGCTTTTGTTTTGCAGATGCTCCACCTCCTCCACCTCCGCCCGAACCAGCCCCTCCTCCTCCTCAACCCATGACTGCTCCTCTGCCTTCAGTTGGCTACAGCAGTGGAGAGGAGGACGAGGAGGAGGAGACAGAGGGAGAGAGGGGAGGAGAAGATGAGGGGGAAGGTGGAGATGACAGGGCCGATCTCATGGAAGCTATCAGGAAAGCAGGTATAACATTAAAACCCCCAAAAAGAATACACCTCTCTATTGACGACACTAACGTTTCATATTACAGTAGTACACATGAATAAGGGACACTCTGAGTAAAGTACAATTTCGATGTCTCCAAAGTCTGTCTTATTCAGAGGTTTTGCAAAGTGTGTAGGTTCAGCCAGAATTGAGAGTGGGAGATGGTGGGTGTGACTGGCTGTTGTGGTCGGAACACATCAGTCCTTCATTTGGCATGTTACAAGTGTCCTCACACACAGTTGTCCTATGTACCCATTAGAACATCATGGACAGTAGGAAAACCACACTCTGTGTCATACGTCAACATAGGGTGGCATATGGCATTACGTGTGTGTGTGTGTATGCAGGAGGGGCATCCAAGGCAGGGCTGAAGAGTGCCAAGCAGATGAAGAAGGAGAGGAAAGCTAAGAAAGAGGAGGAGGCTCCAGCAGGAGGAGACCTGCTGGGAGATCTGACTGCGGCTCTTGGACGGCGACGGACGGCCATGAGCGGGAGGAACAAGGACAAGAGAGAGGAGAGGAAAGACAAGGAGGAACACTCGCTGGGGGGCGGGTCCATGATGGACAACATCTCCAAAATGATTCCAGTTACGGGGAAACTTCAGATGGAGGGGTCTGGGGAAGAAGGAGAAGGTGGCTGGTAGAGTGTTTAGTAACTGGCACATGATGTGTTGTGATCTCAACAACTTTTATTTTCACAGCAAACCATACTATGTTTGTTTCAATGAGTGTGTTTATAGTTATTCCACTGAGGGTGAGTAAAAAACAGTGTGATATATATAGGATATAATATACTCAAGCAGTGAGAGTATATAAAACTAAATTTCTATCATATAATAATAATAATAATAATAATATAAACCTAAATAATAATGATGACAACGACAGAGTCACATGATGACACGAGCTAAGGCGAAAAAGTTTAAAAGGTCCTCACGTGAAAGCCTAGAGAGCGAGGGAGTGATTATGAGAGGACCGAGCTACTTCGAAGATGCGGTGTTGTGCTAGTGCGGGTGCTAGTAGAAGTGGTGGTACTAGTTCTCGACCAGTTTCCTGAAAAAACGTTGGTTGGTTTGCAGGAGGAGTAATGGCACGACGGGGTGTAAGGTGTTGGGGTCTGGACAAACGGAGTGGGGTAGAAGATGGCATTGAGCGGCGGTGGCCTGAACTGAGCTTCCTCCATGTCCACTTGTTTCACTGGCAGCTCCAGGTAAAATGGATCCTCGACCTGGGAGAGAGGGACGGGCTTTGGAACGCGACCAATTGCCAGGGGTTTCTCAATCTCGTCCAGCATGAAGGGGTCGAAGAAGTCGTCCAGGTCCTCTGGATCAATTTCACTCTGACTGTCATCTGGATCGACTCGGGGCAGCACGTAGGCTGCTGGGTTGAGAAACATCGGTGGCGGGAATCTCCCGGGAACTGCTGGTTGGACTCTGAACCCCGTGACCTCTGCACGATGGAGGAGTGCAGCGTGCTCCTTGGCTGCCTTGACACGTGCCTCCTCTTGCCTCCGCTTCCTGTACTTTTCTTCTTCCTCAAACCAACCGTGGTAGCGACGAGTCATGGTCTTGTGCTGGTAGAACACGATTGAGATTCGAGTCGGTTTAGAACGAGAGGGGTTCCTGATGGGCGTCGTTGCATGGAGCTCTTTCTTGGCACACTCGATGAGAATAGAGCCGTGGTCCAGAGCCATGGCCACACCCCCCGAGATGGCGTGATAGCGATCGGTTGTCTTGGTGTCCATCTCTTCCTCGTCCTCGTCGTCCTCGTCGGCAGTTGTGAAGGAGTTTTGACCCATGAAGAGTCGTCCTGGGGTGCTAGGGGAACCGAAGAACCCCGCAGATGTCTGGGGGGTTGGGGTGGACGAGAAGGGAGGGCGGTGCTGGGCCGAGGATATAGCTCTCTCCAGCTGTTTCTCCAGTGAGACAGAGCGCTGTAGCTGATGGTGAACCCATTCAGAGAGAAGGAAGGGGACGGGGAGGGGTGAGGCACAGAGGAAGGCTCCGACAGAGGCTCTCGCTTCACTTGAACTCCCGGCCAGAGAGAGGGCGGGGGTTGTGGGTGGAGCCCCGGGAGACGGTGGGCATGGTGGGGCGGGGCTTGCTGCGGGGAGTCCTGCCGAAGTCCGTAGTCGCTGTCTGAGTCGGTGGAGGAATCCTGAACGAGGTGGGCGGAGGAGAGAGTATGGCCGTTTACCAAGTGGTGCCCGTTTGTGAGTCTGTCATTCTCTTTGCTGAGGAGTAGACTTTGGTACGTTGGGAGCTTTGCTTCCTCCCTCCCAGCGCCCAGACCATTGGTGTAGTGTCCGTTGACACGAGCGGGCATGGCAGGTTTGTGGGCGGAGCCCTGGGTGGAGACAGAGGGCGGAGAACTCAGACTGTCCTCACTCAATGACGATATCGTGTTGCCAGCGGGTGGAGCTTGCCCGGGGCGGAGTTTCGGCAGGACTGCTAACAGAGGTCGAGAGGTCATGGGAAAGAGTTGTTGTGGGTGTGGCAGGAGGGTGTGGTTGAGGAGCTCTGCCTGGGGAGGGGAGGACGGCTTCTTCCGCAAGTTCTCTCTTCACTCTTCCTCCAGATGACGACAGAGAGGAAGAAGGGTGGTGAGGGAGAAGATGGGGAGGGAGGGAAGAGTGGGGAGTGACAGTGGTGGTGGTGGTCAGAGGTGTTGGGGCTCTGCTAGGGTTCGGGGAAGGTTTGATGAGGCTCTCGACCGGTCGTACCTCGATCCCATCCACACTCTCAGCGGGTGGGTTGGTGAGACGGTAGAGAGGCAGGACGTGGAGCTGCTCGGAGTCCTCCGAATGCTCTTGTTGGAGAACTCCTTTCTTGAGGATGGTGCACACCTAGGAGAGAAAAGACAGGGAGAGGGGGAGGGAGAAAGAGTAGAAAAGAGAGAGAGAGGGGAAAGAAGGAGGAAGAGAGAGCAGAGAGTGACAGAGTAGGAAAGTAAAACGGGAAAATCCATTGAAACTGGCAGAAAGTGAAACTGCTATTGAGCAGAAAGAAAACACAGTGTATCAACAGACCCAATAGTTTACACGCAAACAGAACACACCAGTGCACAGATGCCCCAAACTCACTTTCCACAGCTCTGAACTAACAATTCTCAACAGACTGTTTTCTTAGAGGCTCAATACCACATATATACAGTTTCCTGGTTCACACAGAATAAGCATTTTCCATATACAAAGTTTACATACACAAAGACTCAAACAGTTACACCGCCCGGGCTGGAACCCTTATAAAGACCACATTGGTTCGTATATCGTACCACTGTGGCTCCTCCGTGGACCATGTTCTGTCGGTCGTAGTGGCTGTGGGCGCAAAAGTCCATGCAGCAAGTGATCCCCGAGAACGGTCGCTCCTCGCCCTCCGGTCCGTTGCCAAGACGACACTCCTGCCCCGCCTTCTGCGTTGCCACCTGATTGGTGTATGAGTCAGGGGCCAACCACTTGTAGACTGGGCCCAAGTCAGAGGCGAGTGTCTGGATGAGATTCTCTAATGGTAGCTCCTGCAAGGGGAGAGAGTGAAGAGTCAGTGAGGTCTGTTCGAAATCCGAAAGTGCAAGGCCCTATAACACACATAGAATTCAAAGGACAAGCTACTTTAGTTCTCACTCATATTGAGACACACTTGTTTTTCCACAGATCACACTGACCTGTGTTTCGTCCAATAGTCTGAACTTTCTGGGGATTTTGCTGCGACCGAATTTGCACCCATTGTAGTAGACGCTCCACGAGCAGCCAAACGAATATGAGGCTCCTTGGGTGTTGAGGTCTGTGCCCTGACAGGCACACGACTTACTGAGGAGAGAGAGGGGGGGGGGGGGCAAAGAAGAAGAGAAGGAGTATACGTTAGTAAGCTAGAAGCCTTGCTGCAATACTTGAATGCTAACAGGCAGTTTTACCAGTCCACGTAACACAGGGAGGACAGTAATGAAACAGTGAATGGAGGTGATCCACCCCACGAGGTAATGATCGACACGGACAGTGAAAAGAACACTCGTGTTCTCGTCAAAGACTCTGTTTTCTTTGCTCCTAGTACAAACCAGCTGCTGGAGTCTTTGAATCAGATGAAAGACTCTGCCTTTCATGCGGTGTCTCCAACAAGCACACTAGACCACTACTCCACTCACGTTTCGTTGGTAGCACATCGTCTGTTGGTCGGCATCCCATACTTTGGGAGAGTAGACGTGAGGTGGTTGTAGATCTGCTCAGCTCGTGGCTGCGATATCCCTTCCCATAGTACAATGGACACCTAGCAGAATGGAGGAAAAAACGAGGATTTCTCATTTCTCTAGTATACTACCCACAAGTACACCCACCCCCCCTCTCTCTCTCTCAATCATACCACGGTGTAGATCTTGCTACAATGGTGGCCCTTGTGGCGCCTGTAGAGCCCCAGGAACAGCTCCTCTTTCGAAGGTCTTCGTATGATCCACTCGGCAGTCGGGCATCCCTCCGAGGTCTTGGCCTCTATCCCAGTGAACGAGATCTGACAGACAGACAGAAACAAGTTGTTGTTGTTGCTGTTAGTAACGACAGTTATCTTGGTGGTGTGTATGTACCGACAGCTTATCCTCATTCCTGGAAGACTCGAGGGGCCGACTAGCTGGATTCCCAACTAACCAGCTTTCATACAATGTTTACCATTTCTCTCTCCCCCCTTCCTCCCCACTCTCTCGCTCTAATTCCCCACCAGCGAGAGGTAATTGTGGTCAGTCTGTTTGTTTACTACGCACTCCACTTCCAGGGCCTTGGACTGGGGTCAGAGGTCAAGAGGTTTGTGTGCCCATGTTTGTACAGTCGTCACGACAACATCGCCACAATCTAAGATGCCTGAGGCAGTCTGTTGCCTGGCAACGGGTAACCTGATAGGCCACATGCACCGGGTACAAGAAGTTGGGCAGATTGTGTGGGTGGGTGATGGATTAGGACGAGAGATGGACTGAAGTGTCCTGAAAGGAGCGAAGTAGGAGGTGTCTGAGGTAAAAAGGGGGTGGGGTGGGAGGAGGGCTTGTGGCCAAATGGTGGCCAGCGACTCTGCCAAATTGATACGGCGACAGTTTGAGTATGCTTTTAAAAGTACCCTATAAGGTAAGGAGATGGCTCTCCACACTTAGCTATAGAGTACAGCTGGTTACCCACCCTCCCTCTCTCCCTCTCTCTCTCTCTCGGGTCACGTGTATCTCACCTCCAAGAGCCTCAGTTGCTTCCCCGTTACACTGAAACGGTTCTCCATCATTTCTCTGAGAGCCTCGGGACTTTCAGCAGCTCCAAGATGTGTGTAGTAGAAGCCCTCATCGCTCCCTGCAGAGAGAGAGAGGGGGGTTAGTCTATGAGAGAGAGGGAGAGAGAGGGGGGTTAGTCTATGAGAGAGAGAGAGAGAGGGGGGGGTAGTCTATGAGAGAGAGAGAGAGGGAGAGAGAGGAGGGAGGTACTCACCAGGACACCCACAAGGGGGAGGGTCTTTGATTGGTGTCTTGTAAGGTTGGTAGGAGGAAGCCTGTTTTCTTCTCTGTGGACACGGGAAGTAGTGGAGAGAATTTGACATATGTTTCTCACTCTCCAGTCTGTAGATACATGTACTACACATGGCATGTTTACGGAAGTGTATATAGGTGGAAGTGTAGGTGGAAGTGTAGGTGAATGAGCAGGCGACACATTGCGACCAATCAGGTGACTAAACAATGGTAAACAATGCCGTAATGAAGGGGCACCCCCACATCCCCCCCAGGAGACGGTACGGCACGCGTTCTCCAATGAATTGATTACGTAACATTTCGCAACCACTCTGATCCAAATAAGGTAAGCAATGTCAATGAGATTACAGGTGTATGCGCCAACACAGACACGGACCACACCACCTACCCTGTAATGGTACTTAGCGAGATTAACAATAGTAACGAGCCGAGTTGCCTAGCGACGGAGACAAACAGAGCGGCCGTAAAAGGGAGTGGCAGCAGAAAAGTACATCAGATGTATCGGGTTCGGGCTCTAAGCCAGTCATTAGCCTACTACATATCTACATGGAGGATGGAATTGCCACCAACTGGCACATGTCAGAGTTGACAGTGGAAGATGGGTCTGTTTACTTAGCGAGTTAGCAAGTAAACTGGAGTCAGGATAGAGATATAATATGGTGAGATAGTGACAAACTGTGACACACACACACACTTTGAGTCATTATGTCATCATTAAACTCTACATTTACTGTGTACAAAGGATGTGAGGTAGGTAGACAGGAGGAATACAGCAGGAAGTGAATCATTGTGTATCAGAGGAACTCTGAATGAAAACACAACAGTTCAGATCAGAGGAGTGATGTCATAGCTATGAGGCCCAGTGTCAGCAGTCATAATATCTTTGTCACCATTCACTGCCTGCTGGCGGTTGGACTGGGGTCTTGGCATGCTGGACACTGCCAGACAACACACTACACACGAGAAGTGTCCACACCACCAACCACGACAACACTGGGTTAGCATGCTCTCGAGAGGCACTTGTGGACAATGTCCAGTACTCGCAAAGGAATGCGGAAGACCAGCTATTGTCTGAGAGTTGTAGCTCAGTCTAGAGTTCCAGTCACGACCAGTCCCGAGAGAAGTTGCCTCTTCTCTTTCCCTCCTGACCTGTGTATCTCTACCATTACTTCAGTCATCCTTCGACCAGGTCAACAAAGAGTATTTGCTGGATACGAATGTCCATTTCATGGCGGCTTTGAACCCAGTGTGTCACAAAGGGTGAAGAATTTTGTGATTACATCAAGAAATGTAACCAGTGACAGATCCTATACACATCTGACTTTGTTTACTTGTAAACCACTTACACATTTACATGGAGTGCACACTCCTACTCTTGACCTAGCCTCTCAACCTCTTTACCTACTGAAGGAACAGCTGTATTTCTCACCAGATGAAGCCAACCATCATCAGTCTGTCGTAGTCTTGACGACACGATAAACAAGGGGTCGTCCCCTCCCTCTGGGTCGAGGTCAAATTCCGTGTGTCCAAATTCGACAATTACAGGCCAGTCTCACAGCATTAACTCAGCTATGCCAGGAATGCTCTCATATCAGATAACAACTTCTCCAGTCAGCCACAAACTCACTGACAGGCATGAACTTGCAGAAATTATCAGCAAAAAATGAGTAGACTTCCTTTCCTGACCCAAACAAAGGCTTCAGTGCCCCTCCCTAAATGCCACACTATCCTTCACTTCCTGTGGAGGCAGCATATGAACTAGCAAACCAAAACCACATGTCCACAAGGAGGCCCATCACACATACATACAATCACTACCTGGCCACCATACAATACATATGTTAGACACATTATAGTATATGTGAACCGATAGAGCACAGTGTAGTAATAATTACAGAGTGAAGATGATAGAGTGGTTGTGCTGAGCTACGACGGGTTGCGGTGGATATGTGTGTAGTAGGGAAGGGGGCCACTTGGTGTAGTGCGATACGTAACAGTATCCGTCTGATGTGGGGACTAGGAGTACATGTGAACTCCTTGTTAGTAACCAGAGGAATTTCAGGGGATACAGTAAAGAGGAGGAGGAGGGGGAGGGGCATTTTGAAAGTGAGTTTGGTAAAGCTTACACGCAAACACTCACACACACACAGCTGCCCGGTATATTGATTGCAGTATGTGCAGTGCTATTAAACCACGAAATGGTACATGCTTTTCTGTTTGCTCGCGGGAAAAGCAGCGTGACTGGAGTATCATTTTCACCAGCAGCTCCCACCACCACGGCCTTCCCCAGTGACTGGCATGCTCAGAATTCGTGTTCTACACATCACACGGAATTAGTGTATATGTATACGTATAATTATACTCACACACGACATACACATGTGTTTGCGTGTGTGTGTGTTGAAAACTGAGAGATGGTGTGTGTAACTGTGTGGAAGGTTTACATAGTGGTGTGAGTGTGTGTATACTTACTCTGGGGGGAGGGTCCTTGACTGGTGTGGGGGGTCGCTCCCTCTGGTGGAGGGACGAGAAGACAGGCGGACCCAGGGAGAACGGGGAGAGGAAGGGAGAGGCGAAGGGGGAGGCGAAGGGGGAGGAAGATGGACGAAAACCGTTGAGACCTTCTGGTGGAAAAAGAGGAGAGCTTGCCGAGAACAGGTTCCTCTGGACTCCTGATAACGGTGTCTGCATATGTAGGCAGGAGAGACAATGATTAACTCTCTACATTCATTACTACTATAATACTACTTTTTACACACCCCCCTTTAGGACAGTGGGCACTCTGGCATACATAGTACTGAGAGTGCTCATCACAAAATTGGACGACTAACCACTTCCACCGCAGCTAATGACCAGTATGCATACCCTTATAATCATCACAGGCCCCCTCAAAATTAGCCCCACGATGCCATACACTAGCCCACATACACACACACACAATCTCTCATTGATCAGTACAGAGTGGCGGTGTCCAAGTCTGTGGTAATCGTGTTACAGCCGTGGAGGCTCAAAGGGTAGCCCAGGGAAGTGAGAGCCAGGGCATCACTCTGGTCACTAAGCAGGTCCTGAGCCGAGGCCAGAAGTGCCACGCCCGAGAATACTTGCAATTCCAAGGCCCATGAATCTGGTTGTGGAACTGCTTGGCTGGGATATATATATACATACTGGGGAGACCCTCTCTAATTATTTCCCTCATTACCTACACACTCTGACAGGCACTTGGTATGTGCCACCATAGGAAAGTGAGTGTCATACTCTATACCCTCACCCTCACTTATAAGCTGCCAGGTATGGTATCCCCTAATAGAAACAGTTAGTGACAATTGCCTGTCAATACCCTCCCCTATCTATGCATGAGCCTCACTACTCCAGACTACTCTGTCCTCTCAGGAATGAGGAGATGTGAGTATATAGTGGAAGAGATAGTCTCTGCAGGAAACTCCACCACACAAGACAAACCTCAAGTCTCTTACCAGTTGCTCCCACTTGTATGAAAACAGTGGGTCCCAAGTCAGTCACAGTGCAGTGTATATACATATGCCCTGAGAGTGAGCCATGGGCTAGAGGTACAGTCCCAACCCTGGTCCACAAGGAAAAGCACAATTCCATGTGGAGTTGTGGACAAGCAGGTCCCTAAACTTGAACTCTAGCAAAGGGGAGATGTTTGTGTAGGCTATCAATATCTGGATGAGTACAGAGTAAAGCAGTGTAGTAGGAGGTGTAAGAGAGACTGCAGGAGAAAAGGTGAAGTGTGTTTGCTAGGGAAGAGAGGTCCAGGGAGAGAGGTGGGGGTGACTAACACAATGTACTGTGGAATTCAAAGGCTCACTTAGTATTCACAGGCTGGAGGAGTCGGCTCTTGGGTCCTATAGCCCAGGACAAAGAAGACCAAGCCATTGTATGCTCTTCTCCCTATTCACCGGTCTATCCAACCAGACTGCAGTTCTCCCAGGAACCTCTCCGCTGCCCCCACCTCTCTCCGCCAATAGTACACACAGACCCAGCTAGCAAACTGAGACTAGCACCCCACGCTGGACATAATATGGGCCACAGAATTCGGCGACACTGCCAAGATTACGGAGAACTTCGCGCTGTAATACGTGCAGTTCTAGCAAATTGCTGAGCTGCCCGGGGATTTCTCTATGGACACACACGTGTGCGTGCTGAGCAGCTAATGTGAGCCCCTCCCATCTTCAGCTCATTTGCGCGTGCTCGCAGACACGTGTGTAGTTATGCATCCAATTCACCAGCCTTTTCCTTCTCGGGCCCTAGTCAGCACGCAATCAAAACATTTTGGTAGTCAAGTACATGGATGTAGTTTGGAACACGGTATTTAGCTAATTGGTCTGGAGTGGGTTCCCAGTCCTCGAGCTAAGCTAATGATGACAATTAGCGAGGAGGTGGGAAGGGGCCACTTGCAGGGGCGTGGCTGTGAAGTACTCCCAGTCAAATACAGTTGTAAGCGCCTTTGAGGAGAAGGCCTGGAACGAAGGGAGACCCCCTCTGGATTCCTTCTCTCCAAGTGTCCTACCAACTTCTTGCCTGTCCCTGCTGCAAGCACAGGTGGGCAGAACTAAGCTGCTAATCAATTTCTGAAACCTAAGGTACAAATGGGGCAATTACCGTCGCTGCTAACTGATTCTGTCAGGACCTGTGAGAGACATTGTCGCCACGCAGAACGCTACACAGGATTTGCATTAGGTTGGCCCTTTGTGCGTGCATATACGCTGTCGCCGCCTCGCCGGCTGTGTATACGCACTCACTTGCAAGGAGCCGGAGGGTCTCCTCCGCGTCAGAACTTCGCACCGCCTGTGCTTGCATATGGAATTGGTACTGTTGGGGTTGGTACAGACACTGCACCGTCCACAATTGTCCTTGGTACGACACCCCTCGCACTTCTCGCACCGTTTTCGCCGCGTCCGCTTGGGTTTCTTGGTCATGAGCGGTGACTGTGACTCGCCAGAAGTCGTTCCGGCCCCCGGACTCTCTCCCGGCGTCGGAGGTGGCGGCGACAACGGTTCGGCTTTCTCCGGCGGTTGATCGCCCGGTCGCAGGGGACTAAGAAAGCCGGTTTTCTGTAGTAGGGCGAGAGAGCCGTTGCGCGGCCAGGGTGGTTTGGGACCGTAGTGAATGGAGGGATAGGGCGGCGGTGGGAGAGGGATAACTCCTGACGACGCCATCAGCCGCGCGCTGAGCTGCCAGGGAAATGTTTCGGCGAGAAGAGTCAAGAATCACAAACTCTTATCATGTCCTGACTGTCTACCTACAACTGGTCATAGTCGACAGTTCAAGAGACAACTCTACACACCTAAGCTTTACGGCCGTAGCGAAAGTCGTCGACGGGTGCCGGACATTCTATCGATCGCTCCGTAATCACGACTTCCGCGCATGCGCATAAAGAAGTGTTTAATTTTTCCTGCATTGTTTTTTCGTTATCGCATCGCGACAGTTCCGAGGAGCTCCCTTTATTATGAAAGAGGCGCAGGATGGATCCCTCGGCGCAGGTTGATGGCTTCTCGTGGCAGGCGAGAGTTCACCGTGCAGAGAGAGAGGGAGCGCAGCAGGGGTTCCGGCGCGAGGGAGGGAGATGGAGAAAGGACTGGTGGGAAGGGAATCGGCGAGAAAAGAAGGGCTAGAGGAACCGTTCTCCGACAGTGTGGTGGAGAGGAGTTTCGTGTGAGGGACGGGAAGGCCTTTGGATGTGGAGAAGGCTGTAATGTGGAGAGAAGAAATCTGGCTACTAGTGTCGGTGCGCTTCAATTAGAATCGGCAAACGGGCGTGGCGAGAAGACGAGAGGACGCGTTCAGGAGAAGAGGTTTGATAATGCGAGGCGATATGGGGGAGGGGAGGAGAAAACGCCGTTGGACAAGCTGAGGAGGTGTGAGGAGAGAGTGTGTGAAGGAATTCAGCGGTGGAAGGAAGGCAGAGGTAATTACAAGGAGGTAGAGCCTCTGGTGGGTGTGGCCTGGGCCCAGTATGTGAGGGTGTTGCAGGAGGGAGGGCTTGAGCAGGCAGTGAGGGAGGGACTGGGGTTCAAGGTGTGGAGGAACGTTCACTACCCTGTCATTGAGCTGCAGCGAAAGTCAGGTGAGCCCTTGTCCACAGAGAGAGCCTCCTGCGTGGAGTGTGTCTGGTCTCATGTCCCCTAGCCACAGAGGAGAGGAAGGAGGAGGGTGAGAGTGTTCTGTCCAGAGCTCTGGAGGTGTTCACGAGGAGCAGTACAAGTCTCTACTGGAGTCTCTACAGTCGAGACACAAGTTTAGTTTGGAGCAGATCTTCGACTGTGGTCTGGACTCACTGGAATCACGGAGACATCTCAAACTGGCACGTTTCACAGAGAGAAAGGGGAGAAGAGAAGGGAAGGGGAGGGGGAGGGGGAGGGGGAGAAGAGAAGGGTAGGGGGAGAAGAGAAAGAGAGGGGGAGGGGGGGAAGAGAAGGGGAGGGGGAGAAGAGAAAGGGAGGGGCAGGGGGAGAAGAGAAGGGTAGAGGGAGAGGAATGTGTAAAAGAGAAGCAAAAGGAGAAAGTCTAACTACAAGGTACTGTATTGGCTTCCCTGAAGGCCTGGCATGCCTGGGGTGTAGGTTGTGGCAGGCAGTGGCAGAGAGTGCATCCTGCCTCCTGCCATGTTGTGTACACTGCCCCCAGACTCCCTCCACAACACAACAGTCACTTCAAAGACCACCGGATACCTGGACCACCAACTAGCTGGGATGTTGTATATACATACATACAGACGAAGGCCAGCTCCACGAGGAGAGTCTCTGTTCCATTCCACAGGTCCTGCTGGTCCTCATTCCATGTCACTGGTGTCTGGTTTCCCTGGGAGACCTCTGTCGTTACCAACAGCAACTGGCCACACCCCCAAACTGGTCGAAACCACGCAGGTATGCCTTGGTGTTCATCTCGTAGTTCTTCCGTACCTTTTCTCTTCATTCATTATAGCTACTACCTGAAGGCCATCCAGCTGGCTCCAAAGAGTGGAAGACCCTACAATCAACTGGCTGTTATTGCTATCAAAGCGGTGAGTGTAGGCTGTTATGATGATGTTATTCATGTACTTTTCATGTACATCCCATGTATCATCCGTGTAGTTGTTGTGTAGAGGCTACATGACATTATTAATTATGATATTATGATATGATGTATTTAGTGATGCTGAATTGGTGTTTAGTTGAATTCTTATTTGAATTTGTATATTGTATTATATGTTTAAATTGAATTGTTAGAATATGTTACAATTAATATGTTTATTTATGGAATATATATGATAAGTAAACATGAATGATTTGGATTGTATTTTGAATGATTTATTGATGTTATATTATGATGAATATTGTGATATGAGGATTTGAATATAAATTAATGCACTATGATTGCACTTTTTAATGACATTGAATGATGTATTATTATATTGATGATGTGAATGTGAATATGATTACAATAATTATATTGTTTATATTGATTAATTGTAGCAATATTTTAATGATATGATAATGATTAGAATGATTTATTTGTTAAGATAGATTTGAATTGGATTGTATGAATGAATGTACAGAATGATATCAAATAATATGATTTGATTGTTAGTTATATTTGATTGAATATACTATTTTTTATTAACATTGAATATTTATATTAATGATTGAATGTTTATGTCCATTGATAATTGTTTTTATATTATATGAGTTTTATTTTATAGATAAATTGCAATGATATTGATTGTATGTAACATGTTTTGATAATTATGTATAAATTTGAATATATCATATTTTCAAAGTTGATTTTTTATTGGTGAATATATTAAATGAATTGTGATGAGACTATGAATGATTATATATTGATGGGGGGGGGGATAAAATTATGAATGATATTTATGTATATGTATAAATATAGATAACTATATAATGAATATATGATTTATCCTTATTGTATTATATTGTGATAAATTTTGAATATGATTATTGAAGATTATATTTGAATTATAATAATAATAATTATTTACTTTTTTGATTTTGATAATTGTGCAGATTATATGAATTGAATATAGCATATCATGAAATGAATATGCTGTGATGAAATTGTAATTATTTTATTATTTGATTATGATCGATTGTGTGAAATGGGAATGAATATATATTATTTGTATTTGATGATTGATATTGATTATGAGTTTGTATATGGTTGTGAAGATATTTTAATAAATGTATATTTATATATGATGACATTATGTATAAATTTGGAAATATTAATTAATGGAATATCTTTGGTTGCAAAATTGATTGATTTTTTTGAATGTTGGATATTGATTTTATTGATATTTGGGGGGGGTTGCGATGTATGATAATATTTGATTATATTGGGGAATTATTTTATCAGTATAGTATGATTGAGGTTTTTTTGCAGATGGTGATAGGTAATATGGTATGTTAAAAATTATTTATATGATGTTTGGTTTTTTGTGTTGTTTTTTTTTTCGGTATTTTTAGAAACAATAATGGATAGTTATAATTATATATGTATGATATTGAATTGAAATTGAACTTGATGATAGATTGATATTATTTATAAATAAATATATGAATGATGGAATGAATTGTTATGATATGATTTTTAAATTTATATTTTAGGTTGAACTTGTGTTGAATTTGATTGATACTGGATATCATTTTATGTTGAATGAAATTTATGAAATGTTAATGTGGGATAGTTGAATATTAGTTTGTTGGATTTGATTTTGAAACAATGATTAGCATATGGAATGGAATATACATAAGTTATTGAATTATAATTATTTTTATTGATCATATTTTTGATGATATTAATTGAATACCTATTTGAATGATATTTTTGATTGTATTTGTAGTTTATTTGAATTGATATAGTAATATCATGATGTTGAAATGAAATGAATTAAGTACTGTGTTATATATGATATTAATGGTAGTTTGAATATGCAATGTTTTATATGAATTTGAATATTTTATATTCTGTGATTGAATGTGATTTGTGTCATGGAATGGTATATCATTACATATGATTTGTTGATTATTTATGGATGGAATTAATGGAATTATTTGTTTGTATTTTTTTAATAATCCATTATGATTATCTTTTGAAATAATTTGATTGTGAATGATTGATAAATTTATTATATGAGATATTGACATTATGTTTATGATTTGTTGCATGGATGAAATGAGGAATTTTATGTATATAGTATTTGAATCATATTTGAATTGTAGATGATGTTAATTATGACAATATTATTGAATTTAATAATGATATTATTTTTTATTTTGTTTTTAATATATTGAAAGAATGTTGATGAAATATTTTATTATGATATTTTGTTGTATGTTTTTGAAATGATATGTTATATTTCATTATCATGAATGATATATAATTTTAATTTTATTTATGAAAAATGAATGATTGAAATATGTAGATTTTATACAGAATAATAGGATGCACATTATTTTTTTGTGAATTAATAGTGATTATATTTGATATATTATATTTATTTATTGAATAAGGATGTTATTTATATATATTTATTTAATTTATTTATTCATATTTTATATGAATGAAGATTGAATTATTGGAATGGATATTGAAAGGACTTTCTATTTTGATTATAATGAATTAATGTGTGATGTAAAATTGATTTGATTTGATTATTTGACATATGATGGACTTATATTTTTGCATTGTATTTTAGAAATTGATATATGATGGATTTAGTATTGAATTTGATGTGAATGTTGTTATGTATTATATTGATTATTATAAATAAGTATGATATGAATGTATTATGATCATAGGATTGACTATGATAATGTATATATATTCTATTGATTGATGAATATTGATGTATGATTATTAATTCATTATATATTATTGTTTATATATGATATTTTTGATGTTGAATGAATAACATATGATATTATGATGAAATGGAAATTTGGAGTTTTAATGAATTATGATATTATGATTGATGGACAATGAATATTGACATTTGAATGATGGAGTTTAATATGATATTGATTAATGAATTGAATATTGTATGATGAATATTATATGAGATGAATCATATATATAATGAATGATGTTTGATTATATGATAATTGAATTAGATCTTTATGAAGTTGCTTTATATGTTGTATGAATGTATATTGATTGAATATTATGATAAGATGGATTGATATTCTGATAGTGTGATCTTTGAATTTAGATATTTGATTGATTTATGAAATATTGATTGAGGAATATTATATAATTGTTTGATGTTTGCACTGATAATATTGGTTTGTGAATAATTTTTCTGATTAGTGTTTTTATTTTGATGAGTTGAATTATTTTGATGAATTTAATTATACTTGATTATATTATGATATTTATTAATGATTGAATGATTTTTTGAAATAGATTGTGTTATTGGATGGATATTATATTATGTGTTTGAATGAAGATTAGTGCATGATGAAATTTATATTTATATTTATTTCATGTAGTGATTTATTATATGGATATGTGTGTGTTATATTTATTGATAAATTGTTGATTATATTATTATATGATGAAGTGTTCGTGAATGCATGCATCATTATTGATGATTAAAATTTTGAATTATGCATATTGATATGATTATGAATCATTGCATATAATTTGTTTATATCATGTGATGAGTTAACATTAATGAATTATTATGATATTATGTCAATATTATTATGATTGACATTTAATTATTAAAATTATGTAGTGTCTGAATGGAAATATGAATGTATGAATGTGAATTTTGATTTTTTATGAAAATTTATTTGTTTATATTTGTTTATGAATGCAATTTGAATAATTGATGCATAATCTTATATTTTGCATTATCATATATGAATATGATGTGATATGATTGAAATGAATTGAAGTTTTGATGATGTATTTTGATGATAAATGATATGATTATGAATTTGTATGTGATGTAATATTTATATTGATTTGGTTTTTTTATGCATTAGGTGTCATTGAGGACTTGGATTATTATTAATTATATTATTTGTAATGTATTTTTTATTTGATATATGCTATTTGATGGAATGTTTTACATTTATATTGTCTGATTATTACAATGATTAATTGAAATTGGATTCATATGATATATTATATGAATCTTTATATATTATGGTTATTTAAATGATGATATATGAATTAATATTATGACTTTTGTTTGTATATGATGATGATGATTTATTATAGTAATATATTTGGAAATAATACATTTTATTATATATTAAATTTATATGATGTTTGGATGTGGAATAATTTCAGTTGTGAATGAATGTGTTCATTATAAATATGAAATATTGTTATTGATATTGATTTTGAAATGAAATACAAATATTTATGTTATGGTATGTATTAGTGAAATTTATATATAATTATGAATATAATCTATTATTATATTGTGTATGAATTGATAATATATTTGTTGAATTTTTTTTTAATGAAATAATGATTAATTGATATTATAATTATTGATTTGATGATGAATCTGTTGAATTTGGACATTATTTTAATTTATTTATATTTAATGATGGATTATATATATATGATTATTTTGATTGATGTAATTATTGTATAATTTATGATTAGTGATATTAATAATAAACATTAGGATGGATGTTGAATGAATATTGATGATGTATATTTGATGCTGAATGATATAATGCAATGGATAATTAATGTATAATATTTTTTGGTTGTTATGATTGGATGTGTAGTTATATATGAATTGAATATATACAAATATTCATTACTAAATTTATATATATATGAATATAATGAATAGAATTATTGTTTATATGTTGAATGACAATAATATTTGTGAGGTGATTTTGAATTGTTAAATGATTGAATGTATTGGATAATTGTGATAACAGTATGTGATATAAAATATATTATTTATTTTGAATTATGTATTATGAGTTGTATATTAGCTTTGATGTGAGTTGAATATCATGACCCAATTTTATTATGATGTAAATAATGAATTGATATTATTTTGTATGAATGTGATTATTGGTTATAATGATTATTGATTTTTTTGGGGGGGAATTTGGATGTATAATTTTCATTAATTTCAACTATATATATGAATGATGCAATATAAAATTTTTTTTTATATATTGTAATTGATATTATTGATTTAGGTGTTTATTTGATTACATTATATTATAAGGTAACTATGCTTGAAATTGAATTTTTTTATATGATATTATTATATCATGATATTTAATATATTTAATTTATGAAATTATGAATGATGAATGACTTGTATGAATACATTTGTGATATACGATGAATGATATTTAATGATTGATGGATTGAATATATGTTTTATTTGTAATGATATATGATACATGATTTTGTGTTGATATATAATGATAATTCAAATTTTTATTGATTTGATGAGATGATTATTTTGTGATTGAAAGAACATTGTGATTTTATGTGTTGTATATGAATGTCGAGTATTGGTATATTGTATGCTGGATTATTTATGTTTATTGTGTAGATTTATGAATTATGATTGTTGATGCATGTATATTATGAATTATTATTGATTGACAAACTACTTATGAATGATTCATGAATTCATTTGTATTTTAAATTGTCAATATGTGTGGAATTTTAGTTGATGATTTTTATTGATATGCATATATAAACTGATGTTATGCAATGAATTAAGATGTGCTTAATTGTATGAATATATTATGTGATGTATAATTTATTATTGGTGTTGATTGATATTTGAATGAAATTTATATTATATGGTTATGTTTTATGATTTATATTTGTATATATTTGATATATTTGATATTAAATATTATTATGGATATTTATTGAATGACATGATGATGATGATCATTGTGATGTTTATTCTATGATGAAGTATTAATTGATGATTTTTGATAAATAATTTCATGATTGATGATGGTGAATATATTATTTATTGGAATGTGATGAATATGTTTAATTTGTTGTTGATTATGTATTAGTATATATATTTATCAATTTGAAATTGAGTATGAATGATTTGAGAATTTTTGAAATGATGATATTTATATATTTTGAATATTATATTTATAGTAATGAATATATATGTTAAATTTGAATATATGTGATGATTGAATTTTTTGTATTGATATCTATGTATATTTATAATTATAAATGATGAATTATTGGAACATAAATTATATAGATTATTGAGTATTATTATTTTAATTTACTGTGGAATATATATGATGATCTTTTTTGAAATTATGCAATAGGAAATATATGATTAGTATGATTTTATCTTGATATTGATTTGTATGATATGATATACATATCTTGATACATGATTGAAAATTATTTTTATGATGAATATATGATATATTTGATGCATATATTTATAAATTGAATTGATATTGAAATGAGAAACATATGTAGTATGATTGTTTTGTATATTGAAGAATCTTATTTTATTTTACGTTGATTATTATTCATATTGATGTATCATATTATTTAATAATGAATTATCAATATTGTGAGGTATGGTTATAATGATGAAACATTTTATTATATTTGAATTTATTGTGTGATCTGTGATGAATGTTTGAAGTATATTATGTAACATTGGGTGAATTGTATATTATTGAATTTGATTGTTGAATTTATATGAAATATGAATAGATATAATAATATCATTGATGAATATTTTTGAACTAATAATTGAATTAATGATAGATTATTGTGATTATGTACATATAGTTTGAGGTACATTGTGATGTGATCTCTGAATGTAATATTTTGTGAAAATAAGTGAATTTGACATGCATGAATTGTATTATAATTATATGTTATGATGTAAGAATGATTGATATTGTTTATGATTGATTATATATTGATATGAAAGATGGATATATTGAATGATAATCAGTGACATGAATGATGAATGGATTTGATTTGAATATTAATTTGGATTGACATTGTTTAGTGGTATGAATATTATGAAATCTTGTAATGAAAATTATGTTGATTATTGATATTATATATAGTGAATGTGATGATGATAGTTATTGAATTTTATTGAAGATATTTTATATGATGTATTAATGAATGATTTGTATGAATTATCATCTGTATGATGATGAGTGATATGATATGATTTATGTAATATAATGAGTGAGTGAATTGGTTGTTATTTATAAAGATATGTATTACTGAATATTATAATATGATTGTGTAATTATTGAGGATTAATGTATGATATAATGAATGATAGATGATATTGATGATATGTATATTGTCAGGATATAATTTGAAATGCAATATATTTTTAGGTGAGTATGAAATTTGATTATAGATGTGAATAATTTGCAATGTTCTGAATTATTATTTGGACAGATTTGAATGGATTTTGATAATATTATGATATTATGATGAATTATTATATTATGAGAAAATTAGATGGATATATTGAATTTGTATTAAATATTAATTATGATATTGATGAATAATTATGAATATAAGTATACTGATTTGATATATATGCGTGGCTTCGCTGGGTTATTGTTATTATTATAATTGATTTTTATGTTATGGTTGATATGAAATGATGATGCATTTATTTGATATGAATTAAAGGATGTTTTATTTATATATTTTTGAATAGTGATTATTGAATATTTGGATTATATGATGAAATTATATATTTGTGAATGATTATGAAGAATTTGAATATTATAAAATTTTGACAATCAGGATTTAAATATGTGTTTGAGTTAATTATGAATATATGTGGATTTTTAGTTATTGAATATGTGAATTGTATGGTGAATAATGTAATATTAATTATGTTGTATATGATGAATATATGTATTTTTGGGGATTTTTGTGTGAATTGATATGACTTATGGAATTTTATATTATGATTTTTGATTGTACTCATATGAATGAATTGATATTAGTGATGAGATTTATATGATTTTATCTTTACTATATATGTTGTATTGCTCTATGAAGATTTGTATTACATTTGTTGATTTTTAATGATTGTTATAGATGAATTTTGTGGAAAATGTATATTCATTGAACAAGGAATTTGTTGAGTCTGCATAGTTTGGTGGTGAAATGCAAGCGAGGGAACTGTGTTAATTCCGTGGGTATTGTAGTTTGTTTTGTCCACAGTGGTGTAACTAGTCTATTGCCAGTGTTCAGACAGACTGAGCTGTAGGGCCAATAGTGTTGTCTAGTGTGGGGTTTGTTTCCTCTGTGTGTGTGTGCAGCATCGGAGGCTGGATGCCGTCTATTTCTACATGAGAAGTCTATTTGCTAAGTCTCCGGTACAGTCGGCTCATGATAATCTTGTCGGGCTATTTGAAGAGAGCAGCAGAAAGGTCAGTGAGAAACTGGACCTCTTTCCTCATCGGCCATTTGTACTGCGTGTGTGTGTGTGTGTGTGAAGGCTGAGAGACAGGAGAAAGAGAGAGAGAGAGAAAGACTGAAGTTAGAGAGAGAAGCCGAGCGGCGGAGGAAGAGAGTGGAGAAGAGGGAGAGGAAGAAGAGGAAGGAGGGAGGAAAAGATCGACACGTGATAGTGTTTCCTTCCGGGGACAAAGAGGTGTGGGTGGTCCTGGGAGTGAGGAGTGGAGGGAGAGGAGGGGGAGGGGAAAGGGTGGAGAGGTAGGGGAAGAAAAGGGGGAGGAGGGAGAGGAGAAGAACGAAGTTGTGTCTCAAGAGAGTTATTCTGATCCCGAGGAAGAGGTAAATGCATGCTGCCCTATGCAGTGTGCAGGTAGATTTTTCACGTAATGTGTTACGTCACCTTTTCAGTTGGTGAAACAGCTGACGTCTGCCTTTCTATTAGTCCATGGAAAGCTCTACACCAGAATAGGGTGAGGGAGGAGAGACCTAGCAGCATTAATAAGATACTTGATGCCATTTCAACGATGTGATAGTAGCACGTGGACCAATCATGCCCATACATTGACGTTGGGATTAGACTTGAAGTGCAGCTGATTTAATACAGACCGTCTCTCTGTCTCCAGGATAGACCAGTTGGAGGAGGCGGAGGAGAGGCTGGTCCAGGTATGGAGGAGGGTTCTGGGGAGAAGGTCCCTGGGTCACGGGGCGGCACATCGACTGGTCAAGATGACTGTCATCAACATCTCCTCTGTTCACCATTCACTCAACTCCAGTGGTATGGTCTTACGGACTCAGCAGTAGCTAGACACATTGGTTTTACCATCTCTTTTGAATCGTCTCTCTTGGGCGTAGTTCTCGTAGGACATCGAGAATATCACTCATCTGGCAAAGGGTATTACTGTCGTAACAATCATAGACCTCTGCTTCTCTCTCTCTCCGGCAGACTCGAAGGCAGGCCAGAGCTACTATCTCAACCTGGCGTTTCGTGTGGCTGTCCTCATGAGCCAACACCTTGTTGAAGAGTTCACACACTGTAAGCTGCTTCTCCTCCTCCCGTGAGGGAAGGGAGACCGTGGACTCTGACCTCCGAAGGCCCTGGGAGGGACTAGTGATGGAGGTTCTGCCGGCAGTGAGGGTGTGGCTGGAGTGGGTGGACAGACAAGAGGGTATCTGGACTCCTCTCCTCTCCTCAACCAACAAGACACACCTGTGAGCCATCCACACACACACTCTCTCTCTTACACTACAAATCTGTTATATGTAGTTGTATGCAGCAAGTGGATGGAAGGCAAGCACATGTTTAGACACATGCAACAGATTGTGTGATGTTTACTAACCCCTTCTCCTCCATTCCCAGAGAGCTCTTCTCCTCCAACTGAGTCAGACCCTGTCATTACTTCCAACAACAGAGTTAGGTAACTCTTGTAATCTATTACCATATTAGCCTCTTACTACTGTGCCCACTCACTGATAGGCTGGCTACTATCCAGCATTGTTCCAGCTCTGGTAATAGCTGTTATCAGTGCTCATCTGCTCTCTCCTGTGCCATGTGTGTGCTCCCTCGGTGCCATTGTGTGTTGCTCCCGTCCTGTTGCCATGGTGTGTTGCTAACTCAGCTGCTTGGATGGCTTGCATACCATATTTCACATTATTCTCTATGCTGCAATCTGTCCAACCTCTGCCAGTGTGATATCGAATGTCTTGTTTTTAGTGTGTTGGCCCAGAGTGGCGGGGGCTCTGGGAGGACGGATGTTGATGGGTTCATGCCACTCAAGCAGAGGTTTCCACGGAACGTCGTTGGCCACTGCCCTCTCTGTTCAAACTGACTCCGAGGTAAGTGGACTTATCTCTAATTAGCTCACTGTGACCTATTGTGCTGGTCACACACTCAGCAAATAAAAGAACAAATGCTCTGAGGTCTTACACTGCTCTCTCGACATGTGATCGGCTCACAAGCCATGCCCACTGTAACGAGGTGGACAGAGCCCCGAATGGAGAGAGGAATGGAGGAGGAAGAGGTGGTCAGTTTTCTCTGTGGATGGCTTCAGGTAGTCAACCTCTTCCTGTTTAGATTGGAGAGGAGAGGAGTGGGAGGATAGAGTGGTGATGAGGTCATGGTGGAGGATACAGTGAGGAGAGCAAAAGGGAGAAGATCGGAGGGGAGGAGGGGGATGAGACGAGAGGACAAATGAGCAGGTGGATGTTGAACCACTGGATGTGCCAGCTGCCACATCCAAAGAGTGAACGTATGTGGGGGGATTAATTCAGAACTGGCTAGGCTTCCTTGTTGGCCAATTCGATGTCGCATCATTGTCTATGATGTTCATCACTAGTTTCCTTATGCGGGTGATGACCTGCCTTCTGGCAGTGGAGGGGACTTAACTAAAGGTGTGGTACTCTATTATACAGGCGGAACGGAGGAGACTGTAGTCCACGAGATATGAGCAGCGCAGCAAGTCCTTACGCACTGCACAGGTAGATAGGTACTATCATTGCCTTTCGTCGTGTGGGGTGGGATTGGGTGTGATGTCAATGCACTTTCTCTCTCTCTTCTGTGTCTAACTCACTTTTATTAGAGGCTACATACAACTGTTGTATATGTTCCCGATCGTTGACTATTTAGCGTCGCAGGTGGGGGAAAGAGATAGGCCAAACCAACCATACTGAATATAGCTAGTAAAGTGCATGGTGTGGGGAGGCGGCTTGTCTCTGTAAACTGGGGACCATAGTTGTTGTCAGGTTTGTTCATTTTACTTTTTAATTTAACCCGATGTTCCTCCTCCAGTGTGCAGACGGTGCTACAGGAGGCAGTGGCTGGGTGAGAGAGAGACTGTGTTTGTTCTCGCTTCTCGTCCCGACACAAACTGCTTGTGGACAGCGGGAAGCATCATGGCATCGTCGGAGGGTAACCTTTGTTCTGGACGTAGCCTATTGTTGAGTTGGATTAGAAATGAGGTGGAGGTGAGATGAAAGAAAGTTATCACCAACAGTGTAACGAACTGGAGGGACACCGTAAGGGGACAATGGAGGAGAAGCCCAAAGGAAGGAGATAAAAAGGTGAGAGGGAAGAAAGTGAGGGAAGGAGCAAAGTAAGTTCGGGCTATGAGTTCTGCCTGTCCACTTTCCTCTCCCATCTCTCCTCTCCAGAGAGGCGGTGAGCTCAGTCGAGAGGCCATGGGACCAAGTCTCCAGGTCATCACCACCGCGGGAGTATGATCAAGTCCACTTAGTGCGTTTGTACCTCCTGGCACTCCAAAAAGTATTGCCTGAAAGCAAAAAGGTACTCGTTTTTCACATACACACAAATGCAAAGAAAGCTTTCAC